CCCACTTACAGTGTACACCTATATCTAGGTATATGCATATGTACGTACTGAGTACAGGCATACGGGCATCTCCCACCTTATACCTAGGGTGTGTAAAAGAGATAAGTGTGATGTGTTTTTCTTCCTTTTCTGCAGACACTGTGTAGGGCGAAAGAGAGGGTGCATAGCCACCTAAAGGCAGCCTCTTTAGATAGGACGTTACCCGTTGCTGGCGGGGGGTTTCGCGTTTTTATTGGTGGGATTGGTAATAGGTGTGTTAGGAGGTATCTCTCGGTTAGGCAGGTAAACCTCCGTTGCCCTTCATACGTCGGGGTTTATCACTTCCATGCCTTCCACACACACACACACACACACACACACACCATTTCCTCCCACACACACTCGCACACCACACACACACACACACACCAGCTCATACAGACCTTGAGACGCCTAGACGTCGATTGCGGCAGCGCCGCCTGCCCCCTGAATTTCCAGCTGCTCGGATGTGGTCGAGTCGACGGTTTGCTAACCGGGATTGGGGTGCGCGTTGCGTGGGGGAAGGTCACGAGCTGGCCCGAGTCGGCCCAGCCAACCGATCCATCTACGTGTAAACACAGCCGTTCTGTTTGCTGTGCCAGAGCCGGGCTAGCAGGCCGTGGTTGCGCGCAAACGGTCCTATTACATATGTGTGAGCAGGCAGCTCGAGAGCAAACTACCTGGGCGCGGCGTGCTCGTTCTTGCAGCAACTGGGAAAGGGGTGGCGCCTAGGACTCTAAGTGAGACGTGTGTCTCTCTTCCAAACAAGCGATGATGAAGATGTGGGGGGCGGGGAGGAAGGAAGTTGTGGCGTCGTCAAGGGCCTTGCCAGCTTGACCGAGTGGTGTGACGGCCACGCCGCCAATGTGCTTAGACGACAAGCCGGTCAAGCGGGGACGGCGGCGGGTGATGTGCCGCCCATGCATGGCCTGGGTCGCCAGGGTGTGATTGGAATGAGGACCAGCCGACTGTGTCTCAGCTGCTTTTATTTATTTATTTCCTTCTCTACTCATACATGTAATGGCTTCGCTTCGCTATCCCTTGCCAACCTGCAGCCACCTCTGAGATCAAATAATAGTCGATCCAACGAGGGCTGACTTGGGGAGGGGGAGGGGGCTCTCTGCTCACCACCTACCTCCTACCTCCTACATACCCACCTATGTGTTGTGAGTATACACACATGACGAAGAACCCGGCGAAGCAGCTGGCTCGTTTAGTAGTTCCTAAGAGGGAAGGGAGAGAAAAATGCCTGCCTACCTACCTACTCAGATATGTATGCACGTCGTCCATGGGGCACGTATATACATACATATATATGTGCATACTCACACGTACATTACCAGGCAAACCCCGTCGAAGGCCAAGGCGTTGACCCGTGTCAGAAATCGATAGAGGAGAGGAAAGACCTCTACTAGGTGCAAAAGCTAATATGTACTAACGAAGCTAGATAATTGCATATTAGCAACTGGGTGGCCGTGATGCTCGTCGATTTTATTCGCCGTCCTCTCTGCGTTCTGCCCGAGAAATACCCACACTGCTACGTATGTGGTAAAGATAGCGAAGCGGCTGGCTGAAGAGATGTGGTGCCCGGGCCATCTCTTTCTCTCTTTTTGGGGGGGCAATTCTCGACATCGTATACGTGCACGTACGTTCCCCTAGTAAGCAGTGTGTTCTGTCTTGTCTTGTCGGCCTGTCTGTCTGTATGTATACCTATATGTAAACACATCCCGTCTTTGGAGGTACCTATGTGTCTCTGCCCATCTAACCTACCTGACCTACGGGACCTAGGTAGGTAGGTACCTAAGGTATGAAGACATTTTATATCCGTCTATACATTATGTACCTGTATGTGTTGCATTTAGCGGTTGATCCGGGAACCCCATCATTACCTGGTTATCCTCCCCCTGTCTCATCGCCATCGTGCACATACGGAGAGGTGCTTACTTGGGATTTTACGAAGTACCTCCCAGCCTCGTAACGTATCACATGTCCACCTACCTACATAGGTAGGTACCTCATCTTACTTTCCTATGAGTACAAGTAGGTAGGTAGGTATGTACATATGGGCGTAGAGGGCGTTCGGGAGATGGTGGTGGTTAGACATTTCAAAGGCCGCCTATAGCTGAAAGCGCATCTATAATTCTGCGTCTTATGATCAAATTGGTCGTCTGGCATGGTATTGGCAATTTAACATGACATTTAGAGGTCGTAATCGAAAAATATATAGGTATGTATATATCAGCACACGCACGCACGCATACACACCATGGGGTGACCCTGTCCGCCTCGAATTCACCACCTCCGCCTCGCGTTTAGGGACATCACTTAGATAGAGGTACCTAGATAGCCTCATTATCTACCTACATCGCACCTAAGAGGTGGTTGATCCCTGTGTTGATGTAGGTATGTACACCACCTCAGAAAGGCGCCTGCGGACAGTGCGAGCAGACAGTGCGGACGAATCGGACCCGGGCGCCTGGGTAGATTCAATCTGAGGCACGTCTTCCCAGCCCTTACCGCGATACATGCCCTGATCGAAATAAACATCATGTTCGTATCCATTTTAAGGACTCGCTCAATCTACATTAACCCCGGTCCATCCATCTACTGGACACATCATCAACGGAGGCACCTGTTCAGGTGGGACGGGATCAAGGTCATCTAGGAACAGCAGCTTTCATTGCCTGCCCAATTTCGTCCCCTACCAAATCGGCGATCCTCGGCGACGGGATGGAAAACATGGAACGGTCAACAGACGCGTGTACGACCTTGGTGACGCAGATGGAGGAGGGATGGCAGAGACAGTGCAATTTCCCGCGGCGTAGCGCTGAGCGGTAGGACCCTTAGGATACCTCACCTCACCTAACCTACTCATACCATAATAAGTGCATACCTCCTATGGACGATGCGCATGCAGATATGCATGATGCATGTGCATGTACATGCCCTAAGTTGGGTGGGTAGGTATGTTAGGTAGGTAGGTAGGTACCTACCTACCTAGGTATGTACCTAGGCATATATGAGGTAACGTATTACATTACTAAATACCTAGGTACCTGTAGGTACCTAGGCAGCTTTATGTGGTGGAAGGGCCGGGGTTCTCATTGGAAACCCACGAGATTAGGTACCTGGCTACAATGCGACAACACTTATGCAGGGGAGGAGAAACCCCCGTTTCCCTCTTCGACGTCGTCCTATCCCGTCGAATCGATGGTACCTACCCATTGGGCACCTCTGCGCTACGATCGCGAGTACCTGCACGAGTCCCTGCACGAGTACCTGCACGAGTACCTGTACGTGCTGCCCAGCATATGCGACAGGCGCGCCCACGAGACGCCATGTACATGTGCGGTACATGTCAGCTCCGTGCCACCCCCGTCCCTGTCCACCTTAGCGGCCCTGTCTGTCAGGGCCTGTCAAGCGCCTTAGGGGCCGCCAGCGAAAGGGCCTCTTCCTCATTTCCACCCTCTCGCCGGTCCCGTTTTCGTCTCGACTCGTCACTCGCCTGATCAGACCCGGTCTGGTCCTGCTCTGCTCTGGTTCTGGTATTCTTGGTCCGCGTTGAGTTGACGAGAGAGACACGAGAAGTCTGGGTAGCCTAGTCGCTCACTTGCCCACCTGCTCGATCCTCATCCTCGTTTTACCTTGCTCTTCTCTCCCAGCTACCCTCGTCCTCTCTCACCCTCCGACACCCTTCCCTGCTCTGTTATCCTCTCCCTCTCTCCGACACACACGGTCTGTCTCTCACTATTGTCCAAGTTTTTTTTTTTTGTCTTCTTCGACATCAACCTCTTACCACAGTCGCTCCTTTGATCCCCCCAAGGCGACCGCCCAACCGATGACGAACTGAATCGATCTACCACCGGCAATCGTTTTGTCCCATTCTCTTCCCTGGAATCGAGTATCTGCCGTTCGAAAACTAGACAGCATCAACAGGAAGAAAATAAAAACAGGAAAGGCGGAGAAGTGCCCCAACAAAAAGGAGGAAGAAGAAACACACGAGGATACCCGATTACCAAGGCGGCGAGGAGCGAGGAAAGCCGCCATCCACACGAGAAGAGAAGCCTTGGCAATTGTCCTCTCATCCCATCATTATCGGATTGCAGCATTCGTGTGCTGCCGGCCCGTGGTGCCTGGGAACCATCGATACCTGTACGACTTCGACAACGCTCGTCCATCGCCCTCTTTGGTGCTACCGCAATTACTGTTGCCGCCGCCGCTATTGCGCATCGCGGCACGGCATCACAAGTCTCTCCTTGCGTCCCTTTTCGTTTCTTCCGCTCCCCTCGAGGTGAGCGTTTCCATTGGCTCTTTCCGAGAAAGAGACGGGATCATCTCAATTCGGCTGTCTGATCGCCGGCTCGCCCAATTCATGCTCTGCCTGCCCTGGGCAGCCCCGGTTTCCTCCCCCTCCCCCCCTCCATCAGCCTGTGAAACGCATCCGACACAGAGCGGCTCGTCGCCAGGTACGTTTTCGTCGGTCGTTTCCCCAACCTTCTCTTCCCTTCACTCCAGACCCTTTTTCCTCTTGCGCTAGTGTTTGTTTCTGTAGTTCTGGAAGGCGGAGCGAATCTCTCTCTCTCTCTCCACCCCTAAGTGTGTCCGGGTCCCGGGTCGCTGATACGAACCCCTTAACGCTGCCCACATGACATCCTCTTTTACCCAGATAGACGAGTGCCCGACTGATCATAAATCTCTCCGGTTTTAGGCGAGAAAGCTGTCCAATCCTTGAAATAGTTCACAACCTGCGCCTGCGCCGGTGTCTAGATCCGCCCTACCTACTCCATGTCACGTACTGGGATCCAACTACAGTCGATCTTTCTCACCCGCTTCACTCGTTAACGGCATGCAGAGCGCGGTATATTGATATCTCGTCTCTAATCGCGATCCAAAGTCACTCATTACGCATTGGATCGATACTCAGTTTTCAGGTGGTTTACTTAGCTGTCACTTAAAAAAGACCAACATCGAGACGTCTCGCCATGAATCGGTTCAGGACCAAGAAGAGGGTGAAGGAGGAGACATCTGCTTTGTCTCGGCCCTCGCAGGAGTCTGATTCCTCTCTCACTTTTCTGCCATTTAGGAAGGGGAAGAAGGCACAGGAACCCGATAAGGTCGAGATCGACCTTTCGTCAGCGCTGCCGTCCACGGACGAATTTCGTACGAGTCTGCTGATGACCGGCCTGTCCGCACGATTTTCCATGTTGCGGGAACAGGATGATCCTAACACCAAGATCGGCAAGGCTAGTGACGACAGCGTGCTGTATCCCAAGAGGCAATCTCGGCTAGACTATGGCGGATTCCGTGGCTTGGGAGACATCGCCGAAGTGGAATCACTCAAGGCGGCCGCTCCTTTTGCGCGCAAGAATTCATATAATTCGGACGATGCAGATTCCTTAACGGCCAACAGTATGATGGGACGGCCCAAACCTAACGAGGGCAACAACCTGTTCGGCGGGCGCCAGAAGATCTACAAGATCACAGCCGGAGCCGGCTCTAAATCCGGTATGGGTGGTCGAGCTCTATACGACGACGACGTGGCCCTGTCGGCTTTTCAGAGGTGGAGGCAGGAAGAGAAGGAACGGAAATCGTTCGACGGCGACGAGGAGCGAGAGGACGCTAGCAACCGGAGCTCGGGCGACGTAGAGGCTCTCCGCGCCGAATCCCCAGTCGGCGGTTATAATCGGAAGCGAGAGACCACGTCCACGACATCCTCCATCCCATCCATGGCGAGAAACTCGACTGCCGCTACCTCAGTTACCTCCCAACGGACCCCGTCACTCAAGGATTGGCAACCGTCGACTGCCCCCACCACCAGCTCGGAAAGAGGTGTGACACGAGCCAGGCGATTATACGAGCCCGGCCTGAACCACGACCTCCAGGAGCAGCAGTCCTTCGCATTGTCGCGAATCGACACGCTGACTCGACAACGGACCTTCGGCACCCGCACGCCTGACCTGGTCCAAAATTCGCCGTCGCCGACAGCTGTGGGATTTCCCGAGCGGCTGGGGAGCGAGCGTAAGATCCTGGCCCAGTCTAGTGCGCCGAACCTGCGATCGATGAGCCCCCCTACCACCGCCTCCTCCGCCGGAACTCTGGATCTAGGCGTCCGGATACCTAGTGCGACGGGAATACGACCTGACTTTGGTGGAGTACCCCCTGTGAGCCCACCCATCAGCGAGACAGAAGAAAATTCGATTCTCCCCATCCACCCCAACGATCGGGGTAAAGCTACCGCCTTAGGTGTCTTCCAGAAACCCTCCCAGCCGTACGACGATTCGCTATATGCCCAGCGGCAGTTGCAGCGGCAGCAAGGACGAGAGACACCCATCCAGAAGCCCCGCGAGGAGCCCGATGTATCAAGGTCATCATCGCCCACTCAGAAGAAGGAATCGGCGCCTCATACCGACTCCCTACCCACTGCGGCCGAACCTTCGGTGAAGGAAGATGTGCCGGTATCTTTTCTAGCTGATCCAAACGACTCGGATTACTCGCCCGCGGTATCTCCTAAGCCCTTTGCATCTCCCCAGGTCCTGCTTAGGCGCCCGTCAGACAGTAAACATCCGGCACTTCGCGATTCCGGTGCCGCAAAGTCGGCCGATGAACCATCAACCCCAGAAAATACGTCTTCGCGTGCCACCGACTCCAAAGATCTTTCTCCCGAAGATTCTCCCACCTTAGGTCCTGTCACGGGAGCCGGCCTGAGCGGCATGGTTCGACAGCATCTCCGGGGTGATAGCAACGGCTCGTCGATCTACGGGGTCCTGCCTCAGACTTACGATCTCGACTCGCGGTTTCAGGCGGAGCCAGAGGCCACCGGGGCCTTTGACGACTTGAGAACAGGTATGAGCCCTTGGGACCTAGCAGACGGCGGGCGTGACTGGACTCTGGACTTGGATGTTACCGAACCTCTCGCAGATGTTCAATCTCGATCCTCCAACGTGCCCGAGTCCGAAGACTTAACCTCTAGCGCAAGTTCCGGCATCATACCCATAGGACGCGATGACCGAGACGAATTCGCGAGCCAACTGGCCGACAGGGCTCGCCGGGTACGTGAGCGGTTAACTACCTATGTCGAGTCGGACAGCCGTTCTACCCCCTTTGGCCAGCCAGGAGACACATCAGACGCGAGGGACCAGCCTCCACACACCCGACAGACCGGGATGGGTCCCCTGCAGTCACGGACCAGTCGGGGATCGTTGATTGATAGAAGCCGAGATCAATCTAAGGCCATGAAGATGCTTGGGCTGGGGGCTTCGGGTAGTTCCCAAACAGGAAGCCCCGTGCGCGAACCGGCAAGGGAGGAGGGCTTCCGGGAAGTGAGGCCAGCTGAGCGCGACGAGCGAGAAGGTCCCGAGGAACCCCACGCCGGTCTACGCGCATTTAGACAGGCACGACGTGAACTGCAGCGGGTAAAGGAGATGGAAATGCAAACTCGACGCCAGTATCAACCTCAAGCCTCGACCTCGGACTCGTACTCGCCAAGATCGACACCAACGAGGGAACGTCCGCTTACACAGTCATCGCCTAGTCGGGAGCGCAACCCCCCCTCGGCACACCATTACCAGCAGCGACCACCAAGTGAAGAGTTGATACTGGGACCTCAGAGGTTCGGGTCGCGAGAGCATCTACGGGCCGAGCGCGGGAGAAGTGATTCGGACTCCAGTAATGATGGCCGGTCGAGCGGTCGCCCGCCATATCCCGCGAACAACGCCAATTCTCATCTAAATGTGCAAACCGGGCCGAGCGGTGCCCGCCCCCCGATGCGCTCTCCCGGCTTGCCTGGGACGGACATCAAACGATCGCCCATAATGCCTCCCCACCCCTATCCGGGTTCCGCGGCAGCTAACCGGCCTAATTTCGGGCCCGGTAGCAAATTGCGGGTTCAGACCTCTCGCGGCTACGAGCCTGGCCAGCCCTCGCCCGCCTCCATGCCCTCTCCGTACACTCCCAACGGTCCATTGACCCCGGGGTCTCTTCCTTCTTCGCCCCGCCCGGTGCTCCCGTCACCAAGTCACGGTCAAGACTATCCCCCCCCGAACGTGAACGATCCTACGAGGCGTAGGGTCAAAACCATGGACATTTCAGACCCAACGTCGATGAAGACCTCACGAGTTCCGACGGTTGCCCTGCCTCCCGACGCAGACCAGAATAGAGACCGCAGCAACAGCCGAACTGCCCCGCCTTTGCCTCCCATCAACCCAAGACGGAGACAGGATGTTTCCCACACCCGGGCCGCCTTTGAAAACGGAAACGCGGGACGCGGAGACGTGGAAGCAATGCTAGACCGTAGAAGATTGCGTCCTGTCAACAACCCTGCTGTCCATGTCGGACCTCCCACATCTAGGACGGTCAACACCCAAGGCGCGAAGCGCCCCGGCATAGGACTCCCGGGTGGCATGATCTAATTGACTTGCAGACTCACCACGGCGCGTTCATCTAGCATTTTCTTTTCCAAGTCCCCTTTTAATCACCGGCCTAAATGGCCGCTTCCGCATTCACGAGATTTCACGATAGATACCTACTTTACATTACTCCCCAGCCTGGGTGCGCTTCATCACATGGTTATTGTATATTCTGTACAGTCTTTTCTTTCCCAATCTGCCCTGAGCATGACACATTGCCCATCCTACATTTTCCTACTTGGTACGCGGACAGGCATGCCGCTTGCTCGTCGGGCTGGCCTCGGAGTTGAAGGCGGAAGGAGGGGGTGGGAGAAATAGTTGACTGGGAAAATGGGCCGGGCGTGGGCGGGTGTGGATGGGTTATTGGCACGGCCACCAACGTAGTCTAGTTCTCAGGTGTCATCGTCCGGGGCATTATACAGGAGGGCTCTAAAACGGCGTCTGGCCCGTAGCAAAAGTTGGTGTCTAGGCCGCGAACACAGTCCCCAAGGGCTGAATTAAATCCGGATGGGGTCAGTATGTAGCAACGGTTCTGCCTTCATGGACATAATCCTCTCCTTCTCTCTGGAATCTGATACCTCATAATATGTGGTGCTTGGTACTTTTGTAATCAATCAATCCCCAAGGTCGCGTGTGTCCTCAACCGTGGGTGGGGGAATGAAGTTGGATGTTAGGGATGGAACGTATTAACGGGGAAAGGATATAACTCTCGCGTAGTTCTGAGGGAATAATAGGATCAAGCCTTCTCAACGAAAGCCCAATCTATGAAGTATGTATGACTATGACCATGATTCGTGTCTACCGAGAACGACGGTGAGATGTAGCCGCGGAATGCCAAGAGCCTCGTCGTGGGAGAAACCGGACGATCGAGGGGAAGCCCGTGGCTGACAATGACGTTATTCCGTGGAAGCCCTGGTCGAACCCGGGGGGCGGCGATACTAATATGACTGCATCTCTATCCTGACTGCGTCAGTGACAAAAACTAGGGGAACGGTATCAAGGGTTAAGTGGAAAGGGGTATTTACTCTGTAGGGGAGGTATCGTGCCCCGTAGATGCACTACCGTCAAGCGTCCCTAGGTATCGAGTTCGCCCCACGACCGAGAGGCCATCTCCGTCACTGTCGTCCGCCCGCGGTGAGCATTAGAAGAGACGGCGTGAGGCCTCCTGCGCTTCACGCAGCGCCGCGTTGGCCTGGTCCAGGATTTCCCGGTTTCCAGAGGCAGCGGCGTTAGCGCGCAGCTGGTTCAAGCCGATGAACCCATCGATCGCCGTACTCACGGCTGCCCCGTGCATGGAGAGCGACTCATCGGCTCCGGGTCCCTCGTCACGGTGGCCCACGGGATCGGTGCCTTGGCTAGGCACCTCGTGGGTTGTGTTAGCGACGCTCGCGTTGTCGTCGCCGCTGTTGGCTTGGGGGGTGGCCCGCAAGCGGTTCTCCACAACTGCTGGAGCCACGGATGTGGACAGCTCGGCCGCGGAACCTTGCCCGTTTGATCGGCGTCTACGACCGCGCCGTCGTTAGCGACAACACTAGCGAAGATCGCCGGCGGAACGCAGCGGGCAAGTTGACTTACAGTCTGGCCATGGCAGCAGCTGTTGCATCGGCGCGTAGCTGCTACTAGTCCTCTAGAGAAAAGCCCTCGACGGACGGGTGGCTAGCCAGCTTTTTTCGAACCCCGATGAGCGCCTGTTTTTTGATATGCCACAGCCGGTGCTTCTCCTTGACCTCCTCCGATCGGGCCATGGCTGCGGCTTGGCTGCGGATGTCTCTTCGGGACTGAGGACTGCTGATATGGATGGAGGGTATGGATGACGGATACAGATGGGACATGCAGACAGGGGGTGTGTCATAAGACCAGAAGAATCAAACAATTTGACAAGAAGGGGAGAGATACGCACCTGGTTAGAGGACTCGTGTCCAATGAAGGGTTGCGACTAATGCGAGTATTCGCATCTAATGAGGAAATTTGTTTATGGGTAAGAAAGGTAGGTAGGCAGTAAGAAGATGAACGAGACGTCGATGAGCTCGACAGGTAGTATGTCCTCTGTACTGAAGGAGAGGAGGGGAGTCCAGATGGACTCGCGCCTACAACGGCCATGGCCACTAGAGGTGAAATTTCCAAGTAACTGAAGAAGTAAAAAGAGAATGGCAGAGGATAGTGCATATCCTCAGGGCCGTAACAAGAGAGAAATAGCACTCTTAGATTTAATCACAACAGCAGGACCGTAGCAATCATGCTCGGTGATTAGGTCGCTATGGCAGCTAGGGGAAGGCGAAAGAAGTTTGTGCAATATTTATGGTATAACACATGACGGCTGTTGTTTATGAGAATCTTAAGGATAAAGTCGATATAAATTGGCCTGGAAAGGGGAGTCTCTAGAGCAGAAGCAGAGGAGGACAGTAAAGAGGCCCGTAACAGTATTCCCAGAAATCAGGGGTGGTAGAGACAAAACTAGCAACAACTACGTATTCATAGATGTTATCGGGAGGGGTTAGAATCGAGCCTGATTGCCCGACCCCTTGGCTCGTTGAACTCGATGGACTGTAGGAATCAGGGAGAGAGCTAACAATCCATTTTATGCCCAATAAAGGCATTTGATATTCCCGGAAGCCCGATGCCTCCTACAGGCGAGTCTTCGAAGTAGGTAGATTATACGCACTGCGTGAGGCAAGTGGACCGGGCAGCGGTAGAAGACGCGGGTAGTTATCTAGTTATGCCACGCTTTCGGGGTGGCCCATTAATCCGGGTGAGTATGGAATGGACGGGAGCCAAGAGCAGTCTGTAGCGAGGTGATAGTAATAGATAGTGCATAGCAAAGGGTTGAGACACTACTGAGAGGGAGAGAGACATAAGAAGGATGATAGATTGCTTGTCGTGTGTCTGTATATAGGTATATACGACATTTGCCTTAACTTATATTACGTGAAAGTCCGCCGACAGAGGGAAGTGTTGACGAGACGATAATTATACTATGTGAAATTTCAAATGGACTCGAGAATTCCCACACGTGAGATACCGCCCACCGGCACGCATCCCTACATCTGAAGCATCATATATGTAACGAAATCGTTTCCCAGAGAACTGTGTCTGTTGGTTCTCGTCCTCGGATCACTATCGCTTGCCATAGTTACATCGTCCCTCGTTGCAAGCCGGCGACGCTATGCTCGTTGACCAATCCCCTTCCAGCATCCCCTGTATCAGCTACAAGAGGATTGATTCATTCTCCGGTTGGCTTGTTTATACGAAGCCATGTTATTATCAAGACACTCGTCCCACACATGCCTACGCACACGAAAAGTTGTCCGCATATGCATCTCCTCCTTGGATCCCGGTTAGCACTGGTCGTATACGCTTCCTTAGGTTCCTCGGCCCTGACACCTCGTGATACGAGGGACTGACTCTCTTAAGCTCGTCTGCAGAGGTGAGGCACCCGTCGATATCTCGAGACGCAGATACTTCTTCCTGTCCCTTTTCCTGCACGGGCTCTCCCAGAGTCTATAACACGTCGGGGAACGCGTTAGAGACGCAGACACGCAAGAGAGGAGCGCGTTTTGCGGCAACTCCGTATTCCTCTTCGCACCGGAGAATTTCTCGACGCGGTAAAACCTGGGCACGCATCCAAGTTGAGGAAACAAATTCGCCGTCTAGAGGCGGGGGTGATGCTTAAGCCCGGTATATCGTTCCATCGACGCTAGGTACGTGAATTCTCTCTTACCCTTTTCCCTCTAGCACCAACCGCGGGAATCGAGACTACGGACCGACATGTTGGCGCAGACAACGCCGAGAGAGTCCAATCGGTTCTGCCGGACCACTCCCTACGTCACGACGACTGCCGCTTCTCTCTTTCCCTATCCCCCTGCCCGCCAAGTCCCCCTGGGGGGCCCATCCCCTGAAAATGCGCGCGGTGATGTCCAGGGATCGACAAGGCCTGATGCTTGCTAGAGTTAGACACGTATATCGACTAAGGCTGCCGGTTATGGGGAAAAGTCGTCGCGGGTGAAACCTCAATATCCGGCTCGGCCTCTCCATCCCTTTCCCATGATACTACAGGATCCCACCGCCATCCCTAGCTTGGTGAGAGCTTCGACGATGTGACGTGATGCGGAACGCACCCCGTGGAGGATCTTCACTTGTTCCATTTTAGTTTGTCTTGATGGGTCCGAGGAACGGCGATATATGCCTATAAACTTGGACCACGTTTCCGCACATAGCGGTATATATGGTCGAGCGAGGGACGGTATTTTCGAACTTTCCGTATTCACCATCCCTGGGGCAACGACGACGACTCGCCTGCTTCTAGACACACGAGAAATATCCACCTACCTCCAGACACGGCACACATGCCAGCAATGGTCGCATTTAGGATCCTCGGCCCTCTCGGGCTGCTCGCGTCGGCAACCGCAGCCCAGAACTGCCCTTTTATCGAGCCCTCGGCGCCGCTCAAGCTGAGCAGCGGCTACACTGCTCGGGTCCTTCTGAACGGGCTGGGCTACCCGCGCCACCTTGCCGTGGACGCGGCTGGGAATCTGCTCGTCGTCGAAGCCAACCGGGCCGGCGTCCGGCGGGTCGTCCTGAGCGAGACCGACGGCGAGGTCTGCGTGGCTTCTAGCGGACCGTTGATCCCCGACCCTTCGGTAAGTGTCGGGGTGCCTGCAGTACCTGTATCTGGGAGGGTCTGGAGAGAGAGAGAGAGAGAGACCGAATGCTCACACGCGCCTTTTTAGCTGAATCACGGCATCGCGATAAGCCAAGATGGCAAGACATTGTTCGTGTCTAGCCCGTCTGATGTTTATGCCTACCCCTACGACGCCGCGGCGGGGACGGTCGGAGAAGGAAGGTCGATAATAGGGGGCATGTCCAGCGGGGGTCACATCACAAGGACGCTCCTCGCCCCGCTCACCGCCCCAGACACCTTGTTGATATCGCGTGGTTCCGACGGCAACATCGATAATTCCACCGTCGACGCGGCGTCTGGCAAGAGCATCATTAAGTCTTTCTACATCTCAGACTTGCTGGCGTCGGAGAGCCCGAAGGACTTCAATACGGAGGGCGAGGTGTTCGGATGGGGTCTGAGGAACACGGTTGGCGTCGACGAGGATCTTACAACTGGTAATATCGTACGGTGCCTGCGTTCCCCCGGTTATCTTGCTGCGTGAACTAATATCGTCTTTTTTTCTCTCTTCCCGCCAGTGGTCCGTGGAGAACTCGGCGGACAACATCCACCGCAACGGCGTGGACGTGCACCTGGAGAACCCGGCGGAGGAGCTCAACTTTCACGGCGCGGTCAGCGACGAGGCGAGCCCCCTGAAGGGCGCCAACTACGGATACCCCGTGTGCTTTTCCGCCTGGCAGACCACGGGCATCCCGCAGGGCAGCGAGATCACCCGCGGCTCGCAGTTTGGCGGAGTGGACACGACCCCTTTCGTAGAGGTGACCGGGTCCGAAGACCTGGGCGAGATCGACAACTTCTGCCGCTCGGAGCGCGAGGGGCCACGCATCGCCTTCCCGTCTCACAACGCCCCCCTCGACATCAAGGTGAAAGCGGATGGGAGTGCTGCCTTCATTGCGTTCCACGGAAGCTGGTAAGCGGCATCCCCCCTTGGCCCTCTGTCGTTCCCCCGAGAAAAGGAGTTCGAGGGAGTAGTGTTTATGTGTGAAGGGTCTGCCGACCGTTAACCCCTCTTTCTGTAGGAACCGCTCACCCCCTGATGGATACCGCGTGGGCAGGATCAACTTCACCGGTGGCCAGCCTGCCGTCGACGTCGCCTCCTCCGACGAGGCGGTGGAATACATCCTGCAGAACGAAGACAACAATTTGTGCCCCGGAGCCTGCTTCCGGCCCACAGGACTCGCATTCGACGACGGCGGCCGCCTCTACATGACGAGTGATTCAACGGGAGAGCTCTATGTTATCACCGGCGCATAAGTCGCGACTGGTTGGTTCCTCGAGGAAGGGGGGAGACGTTGCGACCTGTGTTTTCGTCGGGATGGGGTTGCTGGAGTGCTCGAGGCTGAGAAAAAGTCCTGTTGCTGCAAATATATCACCGACACTCGCGTGGCTGTAATTCCTTAATCCTACGTCGTCGGTGTCTCGCGCTCGGATGCCGTATGGAGGCGTGTATGAAATGAATTCAGCTTACCCGCCAGCACGCCTCGAGCCGACGTCAAGTTGGTGCTATCGAGGTCGGGCATAACGTGCCGTTTCGAGTAGAGAGGTCGAGTGAGCAGCGATGCGAGTGATCTCGGGCTGAAACACACGAGATATCACTCCCACTCCAGCCCTTGCCGATCTGCTGACAGGTGTGATAGGCTACGTAAAGGTGGCGCGCGGCGTTGTCGCTTGAAGAATCGTCTCCAGCGAGACACGGTATAAACCTTGCCTTGAGCGTGCCGGATTCACTTTTTGTCGGGCCTACGGTGTACTCACTACCGGAGCCGCGTGTACATGCACATACATATACACATACATATATACCTATACATATATAAAGAGAGAGAGACGCTCACGTAGCAACGTGGACGTCCACCTACCGGGAGTTACGTCACCCTTGTCACGGCTAGTAAATATAAGACGAACGGGGGCCGTCGCATGAACATTTGCTGACGCGGAGGATGTGGCGAGCCGCATTGGTTCGCTTGGATAGCCTCTATCCCCGACGGTCCTGAGTACTGTGTGCATAGAGGTGTCGTGATAGCTCCAAGGGGAAGAGGCTCGGCAAGCCCGGGAGCCACGAGCGTCTCGATGACCGTGGGTGTATTTGGGGGCGTCGATGGGGGATCAAATGTGACGGTTGCAGCCATGCGACCAGTCCGGTTGGGATGTACAATCCAGAGCCGAGTGAAAGCATGATATTATGTACATACCTACAGAGGGATCACCGAGACCGAGGCTGTTGGTTGGAGTGAAATGATTTGCTCGATGGGAGCATCCGGAGGCTGAGAAGTACCGGAGAGACACCTCGTGATGGCATGAGGAACGCGGCGGCCATCCCATCTCCGTACGTAACTAGAAATCGAATGCGCCGCGACCCAACCTAAATGAGCCGGCCTCGGCGACGGGAGCTCGGAGCATAATGTAGGCAACTTCATCATCGAGGCCGTCGATGACCCTAGAAGCCGCTCCATTCCGTCAGACGTCGAGGACTTCTCTAGCGTCCCCCTCCTGAGAGGATAGCGCTTCAACCAGTCGCTTACGCTTGTTAGCGACGAGCGCGGAGTCTCGGGACGAGTTGGTAGCGTACTACTAGGCGATAGCTTGTCGAGATGCTCACAGCCGGGCTGATGCCAACAGCGAGCAAGCAACGCGCAAGCAACGCCGGCCAGCACCGGGTAGAGGGCAGCCCGCGTCGATCGACGTCGCTTTCTGTTGGCCTTGCCGTAGATGACGCAATCGATGACGGCCATGTGCGATGGAGGCGTCTCCAGAGTTTTCCGCAGCCGAGCAGCAGCGTGTTCTCGATGGGCGAGAGGGGACGATTGGAGAGCCAAGGACGCGCGACTGGATCTGGTTCTCGGATCGTGAGTGGGAGTGGTGCTGTGCCGTGCTGTGCCATTATGTACCTATGCACCCCCCCTCGCCTACCTACTTATCTGGGGGAGGCCTGTACTGTGTTGTCTCTCCGAGCTCTCCGAGACACTTGGGGAGGTGAGGTGCTCGTAAGGCTTTGAGCGAGTGCACGCATGCATGGGTGTATGTATACATAGTATACCTATGTATACGTAGGTGTATGAGTATGTGTATGAGTGTGAATGTGTGCCGGTATCGTTCTACCATGGTGGCTTCACCTCCCCGTCCCCAAAACTTCTAGGCATTGTACGTGACGAGTGTCGAGCACCAAATTAGCAGCCAACCCGGCGATAGCCTCTGGCTGACGCGACGACATCTCGGGATATCGGCAGGCTGAAACTCCTCTGTTCTTCCCCCCCTGTATGGAGGCACCTTATGGCTTGGGAAGTCCCCTCCCTCTGTCTATATCTTTCGGCTGCTTGGCTCTGCACTAGAGCCATGCCTGGGGGGGAACGACGGCTTGGGTCGTCTTGATCTATGCAGATAAAATCACACCCACCCTCGCTCACACACGCCTAACCTACTGGCTACTGTGGAATCGCGTGTTTTTCTGACGTCCCGCTAGCCACGAGGGAGGATGAGGATGGCGTTTCGCATGCTGTGCAAGCAAGAATCCTTCACTACGCCCTGTTGGCTAGTCTCTCGGTGTCTGGAAGAGGAGACACAACAGAAGAGGAGGGGGAGGGGGCAGCAGCCCGCAGAGAGAGGGTTGATTCATCTGACGACCTGATCTATGTACTTACCTCATAGGCGATGTATATGTGTGTAGATATGCCCTCTGGAACCAAGCACTTTAGAACCATGCACAGGTTGGCTGTTGCCTGAGAACCGCCTTGTCTGAGATAGGCATTTCTCTCCCTCTCCGACGGATCAGTCCGCCTAAGTTGGGGCGGAGCAGAGTCGATCGGGACGATCTTGTGTCGAACATGTGGCTGATATTAGGTGGAAATGTTGTGAGAATCTCGCTGCAGGTTCCCGCGAGAGGTGGAGGAGGGGTGAGGAGGGGTGAAGGGGGGGGGCCGACAGAAATGACGATACATAAAAATGAGCGACGACGATGAGGAGGAGGAGTGTGTGTGGGGGGGGTGATCAAGATGGGTCGTCTGTTGATTACCCTCTTCATTCAACCCACCCACTCATCGATTGCATCTCGGGAGAGTGGGAAACATAGCGAGAGAGCACGCGTGGATTTCTATTAGCAACAGATGGTGCCTATATACTCATACATACCTGGTGGGGGAAAGGAGAGATGAGATGAGCAGGTTATGTAGGCAATGTGTGAATAAGTCGGTTTCTCGAGTCACAACCAGCCAGCCAGCCAGCCAGCCAGCCGTTAAGATCTTCAGAACTCCGCGATGGGCGCGATGGGGAATCCCGTAGCACCTAATCAACAGACCAAGCCCTGCCAGTCTACATGTAGCTTAGCTGATAGCCCCCCCCCCCCGGTTCCTCCACCCTAGGCATAACATCCTCGGCCGCCTTTTTTTTCTCCTGTTTTTTTCCTCCTTCCCACGTGTGGCGGTACCAGAGGATGAGCAGGGATAATTATGACGCCGCGACTCTCTTTGTCTCCGAGTCCTTGCACAGAGGCGTCTCCTCAGACACGCCCGAATTTAAATCCGACACCTCGGCGGAGAGCGAGAAGAAAAAGAGAGACAGAGACGGGAGAGCCAGCCGCAAAGGCGGAATGGAGAAGGTGATAACTCAAGACTTGGCGTGACATGACCAGAACCGGAACCAGGCGGCCCAGGCTGCATTAGAAACAACTACACGTACGTGAAGGGCAACCGGCATAGCCCCCAAGGTAGTTTTGCCCAGGGAGAATCCTTCGAGAGGCGAGGTTGAGACACAAGGGCAAGGAACGCGACGCCATGTAGGTACACCTCTTTAGCACGTACCAGCACGTACTCTGTGTGTAGGAGTTGTAGGGGTTGTAGGGATGTAGGGGTGTAGAGAGTTATACCGCATAGACATTACCTATTACCTCTACACGTACATCGGGCAGGGAGACATTACGCATATACATGCCTACATAGCCATAATTTACACAGATCCCAGGCGTACGCACTCTCCGGCATGTACATCCATCTATATATCCAACCACATATGTATACGTACGTGTATGTATGTACGTGCGTGCCATGCTGGCTACCTCCTATAGAGAGTGCAGCGAGTTAGTTGCTTCAAATGTGTGTTTCTTTTTTTAACCGAGAGACAAAGACAGAGACAGAGACAGGGAGACAGAGAGAGCTTGCTGCTGCTGCTGCTGCTGCTGCTACCTACTACTACTAGCTACAGTCAACCGAGTACTCGTAAGTAGCTAAACGGGTGGGTGGGTGAGGGCCCAGTGGGTTCCCAGAAATATGTATACCCACTCCGGCAGGGGTTCTTATTATTGCTACTAATGCTGCCGTTATCGTTGTTGTTATTATTACCCGTCGATATTCTGACTAAGGGGAGAGACGCTGCTAGACTCAAACCGAGCGTAGTGCCCACGATCCATGTTCTCTCTCTCTCTCTCTCTCTCTCTCTGTCAAGAGAGAGTCCGGGGGTGAGCAGCGCGCAGAGGCCCATCTGAAATTTGTCGAGCGAAGCTAGACCGTTAACACTCAACCAAATTCCCATCAACCCCTTTTTATCTAGGACGGGCGAATCTGCTGGGCCTGGCACACTACTTCTCACCACCGCCTCCACCACCACTGCGCCCGCCTACGCCGGCTACGCTCGTCTCTCCTGAGAGCCAAGTGGTATTTCGCCCTTTTCTGCCTCCGCCATCTCGACGGAAACGCTCTAGATCTTGGGAAGCCCACGTTCGACCGCATGCTGCATACACACCTGCGCATACCTACACACACACATACACACCTACACACCTACATACCTACCTATATACATACACTCATACACATACAACACACACGCCTACACACATACACACACGCTCACATATTCACTTACTTACACCCGTATATATGTATACACGTAGCCGTTGCTTGCGATATTTAGTGTAATTCCGGCGTCTTTTTCTTCCCTTTTCTTTTCTTTTTTCTTTCTTCCCCCCTCTCTTCGCCTCCCTTCTCCATTGCTTGCTCTGCTTACACGGAAACACGTTGCGCGTCGGAACGGGTCAGGGCGAACGGACGGAACGGGCGGCACGGAAACGGACTCTTCCCTTGTGAGCGGTTAATCAATTAGAGCCGACAGAAAGATAGGACACAGAGAGAGTGTGAGAGAGCCGGTCAGAGAAAATAGGAGGAAGAAGAACAGAAGAAGGAAGGGAAAAGAAAAAAAACAAGGAGGCGGAAACCGAGGGACCAATTGAGGAGAGAGAAGAGAGAAACAGAGTCGCGTCGCCGACAGAATAACCCTCGATCATCATGTCGGCCTCGTCCTCGACACCTCGCAGCCGGAGCCCGCAGACCGCGGCCAACACTCGCGTGTCCTCAGACCACGTCGTCGCGATACATAGCGACCGGTCGACGATATACAGCTGCTCATGCGAGAAATGCGAAAACGGTGGCAGCACCCACAGCAGCGCTGGCGGCGCCGGAGGTAGCGGAAGCAGCAGCGGCGGCAGCAGCAGCAGCCACGACGCCGGCGCGACGCGGATCGACGTGCCCCTAATCGCCATACCGCGGCTCTTCAACGCGATCCTGGGCTTCGCGACGGTGACCCGGATACACACCACGATCGAGGCCGGCTGGTGGCCGTGGGAGCACAAGGTGCTCTTCTCGCTCTGCTGGCTGACCCTGTTCTGGAACCTCTCCCACGGCCTGTGCAGCATACTCGGCTACGCCTACTGGCCGTCGCCGCGGCGCACCGTCGGCCTGCCTCCCATCACCCTGGCCGTCAACGGCCGGACCATCGTCTCCTTCGGCGGGCCCGACGAGGACGACGGCGCGCGTCGCCGCCGCACCAAGCGCATACAGTTCACCATCATCGACCTGCTGCTCGCCATCCCCACCCTCGGCTTCCTCGTCTACTCGGTGCACATCATGTACCCGTGGTGGGGATCCAGGTACGTCGGCCTCTGGTCGCCGACCATAGGCTTGATCGCCTCGCTTGTGTAAGTCCTCTTCCCTCTTCCCCTCTGCCGGGCTCGGCTGTGAGGGGCCCGTGGCGAGAGCGCGTTGCTGACCGCGGTTCGCGCGCGCGTGCAGCTCCTTCGAATTCATCGTCGCCTTCTTCCAGCTCTTCCAATTCTTCGAGGCCAAGGTCGTCGGGATCCAATTGACGATGCAAGACATATACGAGAGGGACCACCCCGTCGGGCGGTTGCAATTATAGGGCGCGAACGATCCCAAGTTGCTAACGATCCCTGCCTCCCTCTTGCTTGCTTGCTTCTTTATTCGTTTTTTGTGTTGTTTGTTCCTCTCTTTTCTACTGGGAGTACTCAGGAGAGATATACGGTCGTTTTTTATATTTAATTACATTTCGGGACGGGTCGCCGAAGAGATACCACGAGAGAAGAAGCGGCACAGGGACAGGAGAAAAACCAGCTATCGTCAAAAAGAAGGGAGGGGGGGGGAAGAAATACACAGATAGCATTGCCCATACCCAGCTATATACTAGCCAGCATGAGCCATGATGATACATACAACATCACTATGAGACGGAAATCTGATCTCTTGTCACTCGACGCATCGCTCTGTCCATCATAATTCCCGGCCTCGGCCATGTCGATGCATTGTATCTAAACGGGGGTCGGGTCGGCGACTTGGAGTTTCGCGCTTAGAGTGTCGTGGGCGGACCGGAGCGCGGCGAGGAAAAGGAAACAGGGTGGGATATGAGGCGAACCTGTTCTCCGGGCGTTCCCAGACGCGGCACACTGGCTTGCACAACTCGTTACATGTCTTTTTGGGTGTTTCTACGAGGATCACGGCGTGCGGGTACAGGTAGAGAGATAGAAGAAAAATAAGAAAAACAGTAAACCACCTTGGCACAGCTGAAATCTCGCCTTCGCAGTTCCGGCCCGCGTATCTCGCACCTCTCCAGGCCACGATGATTTACTCCCACGACGATTGGCCTTTACTGATGCACACGGGATGGCTCCGCGGCCCTTTCATAGCCACACGACGGGTAGTATGCGCACACACACACACACACACACACGCAATCACCAAGTGTTATGTTCGCCCAGCTCTTTAGCTCCTCTGGGCTAGTCTGGTCTGGTTAGGAAGACCGAGAATATGGGGAGATAACTTGGCCAGACTAACTTGTATGCGTCTACTGATTAGCAAGCGAATCAGAAGAAGACGCCCTAGAACGAGCAGTTCTTGGCCCAAGTCTACATACACAGGCACATGTGTGTGTCTTTCTATCTGTCTGGGCCAGATTGTGTGGCATCCCAGCTGCGGCGGACTTCTGCGTCGTTCCGTCTGAGCTAGTACCTAGCAGCCACCCGAGAACCAAACGCGCGGGTAAGACAACTACTATATATGCGGGAGATGGATGACGCTACTCGCTCAGCTTCTCGATCCGGCATGCGGTAAGTGTGGAAGCGAACCGACATTGTGCTCAGATCCGCTGGTTCAGAGGAGAGGATTCAGACTGCCGCAGCGAGCATTCCGCCACATCAGCCTCAACCAACAGATGCACGGCCGAGAAGCTGGGACCGGGGCACACCATCCCGCAGGTAACGGTAGCAGATTTAGTAGCAAATCCGCTTCGCCACGCGGCTATCGTACATCTAGAAGCTAGTGTACCCAGATGATGATAAGCTACGGGAAACCTCTCTTCCTCGATATGTGGGCCTGTGTGTGGTGGGTTGGTCTTGTCTGCCCTTCCAGCTCCGGAGGCCAACTGACTTTGTCTCTGCCCACCGGCGGCATCGTAAGATTGAGAGGGAGGCCAACTAGCTAACAGTGACTATCCATTTCCGGAATGAGAAGGAGGGGAAACACCGCGGCGCCGCCACAAAGGTATCAAAGGAACAACCGAGGGAAGAGTGGAAATTAGAGGGGGGTGGAGGGGGGAGGAACATAAAGAAAAGAGAGAGAATCGTTATACTCTATGGCGTTTTCCTTCCTGGGGGGAAAAGAGAGATAGAGACACAGAGAGGAGGCGATATCACGTCGAAAGCTTCCGAGTCCATAGCTACGCCGGTGCAGGGGGTGTTCCGTCCCTCCCTCTCATCCACGACGAGAAGACACGTCTTGAATTAGAAGCAAACGAATGTAATTAGTAGGACAATAGACTGTGTAAGTTAGCTATCTAGCACGGGAAGAGGGTTTCGGACATGCGCCTCACAACAAGCGACGGGGGCGGATCGAGCCAACACGTATTGTCCTGTTCCCATTCTATTCATGCCGTCTCTATGTATGTGTGTGATTATTACCCAGACGATCACCTCGTCGAAACCGAACGAACCCACGTACGCTGGAAGGGGGGGTTTGCTGCTTGCTCTCTGCCGCCGCCGCCGCCGCCGCCCCCCTCCCAAGCTTCCTAAAAACGCCTCCGTGTAGCGCATGCATACGTACATTACAGGGGAAAGCCACCTACGGCGGCAGAACCCGTGGTGACATGAGATCTAAGTACTCGTACGAACATAGTAGTAAGTAATAATAACTGTGATGAAAATGCTGTGAGGAGAGAAGGGAAATGGGAAAGACGCGATGGCTCGCGGGGACGTCTCGAATTGAATGGTGTTTGGTATGTCGGATTGCTGCTTTTCTCTCTCTCTCTCTTCATGCTCTTCGTCTACCGTCACCTCGTCTTTTTCGTTCCTCCCCCATCATTATACGACTCTTTCTGTTGCTTACTCCTTCTTGACCTTCTTGTCCTTATTTACCTTGGGGACGCGCGTGAGCCAGTACAGGAAGAGCGCGCCGAAGATGTTGAATACGATGTAGGCGAAGAGGATGCCAAAGTTGCGCCATCGGTCGTCTGTAGTGCATATCACGTTAGTCTTCCATGCTTCCGTGTCTATGCGATGCCCCCTCCCGGCCGACGCGAGGGGGATGAGGAAACGGGGGAACGAGAAGAACTTACTGTAATCAGACCCGGCACCGGCCAAGAACGTGTTGGTGTCGTACATGGTGCAGAAGCTGCAGTCCGAAGTGCGTTGACTGGTGCCCTCTTGCAGATAGCCGCCGAGGGCGAGCGTGTAGTTCTGCATATACTGCTCGCAGTTGAGGCCGCTCGGGGGGTCGAAGCGAACCCATTCGTTAGAGGCGCACACGACGTAGGTGTTGGCGACGCCCGTCGACAGCATGGCCGACACCAAGTAGGTGAAGGGGCTGACGCGATACATGAAGATCCAGAACCTGGGCATGGTGGAGGGGTTGGCGAGGACACCGCAGAATATGAGGCAGAGCATGAAGAGCAGGTTCGCGATGTTAGCACCGCCCTCGGCCGTCTCGAAAGCGGCGATGATCATGTCGGTGAAGGTGCAGGTGAACATCAAGAAGGCCCAGAGGAGTAGGAACATTAGAGCGCCGCGCTCGGTGACCTGGTCGGCCTCCGCGGCGTTCCTGTAGAGGCCGACGGGATAGTACCAGCAGAAATACATGAACACAGCCATGAGCGTGTTCCAGGGGATCTCGACGATGATCTGCGACAGCATGAAGGCCTTCCAACTGTAGACCTTGGACGGGCGCTCGCGGACCTCGTATAGCGATCTCTGGGTGACGAAATGGGGCATCGTCTGCTGGACGAGCTGGCCGAAGATGGTGAGGATGTTGAAGATAGCGAACATCTGATTCTGCAAGCCCTGGATCGTGTTGGGCGCGTTGAAGAAGACGAAACCGATGAACAGAGCAATGAGGATGCAGAGGCTGGCTTTGGAGTAGATATACGACGGCGTGCGCCAGTACTGCTGGAACACACGGTACGTGACCTCGCGCAGCTGCGAGGAGAAGCTAGCAGCGTGCTCGCGGAAGGACTGCTCGTCCTCGGCACGCGTAGGGGCCGGCGACGCCTCGTCCTTCAGCCGTTGGAGCTCGGCCTGCACGTCTCTGTACTCGGGGCTCTGGCGCCACGTCTGGAACCAGTCGACGTCCGTCGAGCTGCCCGGCGCCGCGCCGATGGCGTCCAACATCCACTCGGCGGGGTTGGCATCAGGGGGACAGGCAGGGGCACCGTTGCGCTCGAAGTAGCTCGTCAAGGTCTTGGAGTTCTCGCCGATGTCGCCGAAGTAGACGGTCTTGCCACCCTTGGCTAGGAAGAGCAGGCGATCGAAGCGCTGAAACAACATGGCAGAGGGCTGGTGGATGGTGCAGAGAATGGCCTGTCCGCTCTTGGTGAGCTTCTCGAGGAGATCGAGGATGGCCCACGAAGTCTGGGAATCGAGACCGGAGGTAGGCTCGTCGACGAAGAGTAGCAACGGGGGCTTGGCAGCGAGTTCGACACCGATAGTAAGACGCTTGCGCTGCTCGACGTTGAGACCTTCGCCGAGGACGCCGACGACGGCGTCGGCGTACTCTTGCATATCTAAGAGCTTGATCACCTCTTCGACATAGGCAAGCTTCTCCTCACGCGGGACGTCGGCCGGCTGGCGTAGCAGGGCAGAGAAATTCAGAGCTTCGCGGACGGTGGTAGTGGCCAGGTGGAGATCCTGTTGCTGGACGTAGCCGGTCTTGCGCTGGAAAGAGTTATCGCGCGGACGACCGTCGACGAGCATCTCGCCAGTGATGACACCCATAGTGATACGATCGGCCAGAGCATCGAGGAGCGTGGTCTTACCCGCGCCAGAAACACCCATGAGAGCAGTCAGGGTACCGGGCTTCACCCAGCCGTCGACGTTGTCCAAGATGCGCCTCGGCTCGCCCTTGATCTTAATATCGTAGCAGACGTCGTTCCAGTGGAAGACACTAGTCTGTTCCTGTAGCATACCCGCCTCCTTGCCGGCGCCGTGCGCCCGGCTAGCGTTGGTAACAATAGGGCCGACGCGAGGGCCTTCGCCTTCTTCCGCATCGCCCTTCTTTTCCTTGAACTGGGCGGGCTTGTAGCCACGTCGGAACACGAGGACCTCGCCCTTAGACTTCTTCGCGGACACAAGCTCGGCAGCGACCAGGTACGTCGTCAGGAACAAAACCACGAAGGCGACCACGATACCAAAGTTGCGCCAGCGGTTCTCGTAATAGTATCGGAAAGCACTGTTGATGTACGCGTCGCCGTTGACGGTATCCCTTCCCGGCACGCTGCCGGGGCTACTGCAGGCACGGTTATTCGGGCCGACATCTGCGAAGCCGTAGCCGGGGACGAGAGGGTTCGGTACGAATCCAGTGCACGGGAATTCGCGGCCGTGGAACTCGTTAGCCATCAAAGCCTCGAAGGCGTAGCCGAGAGGATCTATGTAGTTGAGCCAGCGACACCACGACAACATGTAGTCGATCGGGATGACGAAACCGGTGAAGATGACGAGGTCGAGAATCAGTAGCGCGGCGGGCACCATGGCTTGCGACATAGTTCGGGAGGCAGACGCGATGGTGCGGAAAATCATGCTCATCACCAGGACGGTGAAGAAGGTTATGAGCAGGAAGAAGAAGAAGGCCCCGGGTTCGCGCCGTAGGTTTGTCATGAAGTACAGGATGAGGTTGAACACGATAGAGTTGATAACCTTGTACGGCATATCGCAGAGCATAGAGGCGATGGCTTCCGCCGAGGGATGGTAGAGGGCGTAGCGGCTGTGCTTCTCGACGATGGGACGTTGCGCATAGAGGGTTAGAATCTAGTGGTGGTTAGCACGCACGTAAGACAGCGGCAGCGATGGCAGAGAGCGTATGGTTCCCCCAAGACTACTCACTTCCAGGGCGCTAGAAAACGCGTTCATGAGACAGGCGAAGAAGAGCAGGGCACCACGCTGGAAGAAACTGCTCGAGTCCTCCTGGAGGTTGTAGAAGACGCTGCTAACGATGAGGCCCATGATGATATTTCCGACGAGAGAGCCGACAGTTAGGCTGGGGTCGCCTTTCAGTCTGCGGAATCCACGCCAGAGGCATAGCTTGACCTGTTGCCAATACGACAAGGTATAGGGCGATTGAACGCGCTGGCTCTTGGCTTGCTGCTCCCGTCTCGAAGCGCGGAAAGCCTGAGCATCCGGTCCGTCGAAGGGGTGGGACTGCTTGTACTCCTCAATCTCGGCTTGAAGGGCCCGGTACTCGGCGCTGTTCTTCCAGGCCGTGGCGAACTCGTCGGGAGTCCGCGGAGCTCGGCCTTGGAACCCGTCCCGGACGACGCGTTCGGCGGAACTCGTCATGGAGGTCAGGAAATCAGGGGTAGTCTGGCGGGCGGGGCAGTCGAATCCGAGGTTGATGAAGTACTGTTTAGCCTCGTCGGCTCTCCCGAAGAAGATTTGGCGTCCCTCGTATAGGACGAGGGCCTTGTCGAAGCAGTCGTAGGCCGTCTGGGGCGCCTGGTAGATGGACACGCAAGCGGTGTTTCCGAACAGCTCGGTCTGGGTCCTCAGCGTTTTGCAGAACTCGACGGCGTTGGCGCTGTCGAGACCTCTGGTGCTATTGTCCCAGCACTGCAAGGGCGCGCGGCTGAGGGCGGCTTCGGAGATGGTTACGCGCTTGCGCTCACCTCCCGACACGCCGCGGACGTACTCGTTGCCGACCCGGGTGTTGACGGTGTGCGAGATACCGAACATGGCCATCGTGACGTCTCGCAGGTGAGTGGCGTAGGCGTCCCTGTCTACTCCGAGCGGGAGATGGCGGGGGGCACGTGCATGGGCGGCAAAGGTCAACGTGTCGCCGACAGTCAACATAGGGAAGTGGACGTCGACTTCGGCGGTGTAGATAGCTTCTCCGCGGTGATGGGTATGCATCTCCTTAGCGGTCAGACCTAGATTGTGTCCCCGTCAGCATCGTCAACTAGAGACCGCCTGCGGAATAGGGGTAGAGAGCGGGCGTGTCTAAGGCAGGGGTGATGCTTCCGTACCTTGGTAGTTGAAGTACGACTTGTCATCAACGTAGATGCCAGAAGTCTCGCCGGCGATCGTTTTAAGGAAGGTCGAACATCCTGATCCAGGGGGGCCCAGAACGACCAGCATCTCGCCTTTTCGAACGAGACCGTCGAAGTTTTGCAGGATGTCTATCTTTCTTTGGCCAACGCCCATCAACTTGCGGACGAGGCCGGCGGTTTCCAACCAGATGTTGGCGACATCCTTCTGGTAATCGGTGGCGGCTCCGAAACCGTGGACGTTGAGGTCCTGAAAGCAGACGCCGGCGGTGCGGAACTCGTGGCCGTCGCGATCGGCCATCTGGACGATGGACTTGGCCCAGGCGCGCGCGCTGAAATTGGCCGAGTTGGGGTTGAGAGGCGAGTCCTTGCCGGCGTCCAAGTACGGGTTGTGGCCGTCGACGCGGGCGGCATGCGACTGGGTAGTGTACCGGCGGGCGAGTTCGTGCACTATGGACTCACGCCGCTCGAGCTCGGAATCCTCTCCGACTTGCGTGGCGTTGCTCGACCCTCCCGTCAACTCCTTCTCGGTCTCGCCTACCGAGGTGTTCCGCGTCCGGTTGGCCTCGTGATGGGAGCGGCGTTCGGCGGCTTCGCCGTCGGTCGTCGCCGCCCCCCCGTCCTCCTCGTGGTGCGCGAGAGGCGCCATGGCCGGGGAGCCCGAGTGTTGTTCCGTGCGGTCGTAGTTGGAGAAGACGGCACCGCCCAGGAAGGACATGCTGAGAAGAGGTCGAGGCTCTCGCCGGACGACGACAACTCGCAACCCGTTCTTTGAAAAGTATTAGCTCGGAGTTGCAAGCCAACCTATGCGGTAAGATGCAAACGTAGGTTTCGCCTATGAGGGACCCAACTGCAACCCTCGCCACAGATGGGACGATCCCACTTGGCGAAGCCCCTTCGATATTAAAAAAGTACACTATAGTCAAGAAACCGAGGGATACCTTCAAAGGAGAGGATGGGTTCAAGAAGAAGGAGATACAGCCTCAGCAAGCGATGTTACTCACTGGACTCGAATGGGAGGAGAAGGGAAAAGTTGAGAGCCAAGAGGGGGGGGGGGGGAGGCGATGGTTTTTTAAGAATATGTGACTCGTTTTCGTATTCTTCAGGGTCCTTCGACTACTACGTAACTAGACGGGCCCCGGGATGGTTAACAACACCGGGCCTACCAGGGACATGTTTCCATGTGGCTCCATGGGTGCAACCGGAACCGGCATAGCTCATGTAGGTATGCACAGGCAGGACGGGGATGAAGGACGGGATGAAGGATGGGGAGGGGGGGTGAGGCGGCGCTGAGCGTGGCGAGCCTGGAACCGTCCCGGGAGCGTGGTGGAGGCAAGAAACCTTAGCACAAATGTTCCGTCAACTACATTTATGGAATTATGGGTATGTGTCTATAGTGTGTGTCTAGATAGTGTCTGTGTGTGTGGGTGGTGGGCGAGCGGGTGTGTGCCGGTGTAGGCCATCAAAAGGGGGCCGGGCTTTGTCGCTGTCTATAGGCGGATTAAGCGTGGCCAGGACCAGCTGGGGATGATGACAATAAAATAATAACGATAACAGAGGAATTAAGGACCGAAAAGGCAATATTCCGATGAGTTTTTATTTTCAATTTTTTGTATTTGCCTCAGTCTCTCTCTCTATGCTACATTCTCTCCCTCCGATGAGGTTTATTCTTCGAATGCGTAGACACTCATAGCTCTGCCTGCTGCTTATCCATCTAAGGAATCCTACTTGTGACTTTACTCGAGCATGGATCGTTCTATACCTTGTCTGACATGAGCTGCCTCTCTCTCTCTCTCGTAGTGGGCATGATCAGCCGAAAGGCGACTGTTCGCTCGGAAAAACCCCAACTACGGTGGGAGATCCGAATATGCCCGTAGGGCGTCGCGTGAAGGCTCGTGGAAACAAAAACAGAAGCTGTCGCTAGTCTCTAAACAACCTAGTTCGACAGATGCTGATCAGGATAGAGGGGGATATATCAGGGGATCGTGTGGGTATCGCGGATACATACAGGACCTGGTATCAGCGCACATCCAGACGCTACCCACAGACTACGACATAGTATCGTTCGGTACGAGCAGTTCCCGGCCAGGGGTGTATGTACCTACATACATATCCGTACTCATAGACATGTGCGTACACACCACGTACATGACAATGCAGGAGTGGAATTATTCCAAGACCGAAAGGGGGGCTGTCCGTCATACCGACTGGCTGGGTTCCAGAACGGAGCCACCCCATCATGATCTCGCTACCCACTTGCGCCCCCCCCCTCGACGGACTCTTCTTCGAACCCGCACCCGTGTCCACCCCGGCGGACGGGCAGTTGTGAAGACCGGTCCAAGCCCTAACCTAGCTAGCACCCCTTGTCGTGTATGGTCTCTGGGGGAGAGTGGGAACAGGAGACAAGTCGCCGTCGACCACGGTTAATACGTATCCATACGATAAGCGTCATTTCGTGAATAGACCTCAACTACGATGGCGTCTGCGGGTGTACATATGGACATCTGGACTGATGAACAGTCTACGTGTAGCCGGAGAGACGAAGGCACGCAATTAAATAAGGAAATAAACACATATATATGCATGCACTCAGAGGCAGAGAGAGAAAAAAAAAGACCCTGGCTGTATATAGTACGTAGCTCGGCCCATCGCGAACACACCGTTTCTTATGTCATACCCGGATCTTATGGTGTTTTTCTCTCCATCTGTGTGTGTGTGCGTGCGCGTGCGGTGTGCAAAACGGGATGGCAGATGCCGTCACATTTCCCATATCTCTTCCATACGAAGGCCGAAATGGGATATTCCCACGCTGTTCTCGTCACTACCAATCCCATCAACAAGCAAAGCCTACGCATACTTATAAATTCACATAGGTACCTATAGATTCCGACAGGGGCCACGGATGTTGCCCCAGGGTTGGATCTGACAGGACCAGGGCGAGGAGTAGGCACGCGAGTCAGGCCAAACCCGGAGGTCAGATGCGTGACAAAGGAAGGGGAAGGGAATGCCCTTTGTTAAAAAATAAAAATTTTTAATAAAAAAAAAGAGAAAAAAAGAAGAAGGAAAAAAAAGAAGAAAAAAAAGAGGACCTTAATATCTGCAAGCACAAGCACGAGCCGACCTGGTGATGAGTGGATGAGGCTTCTTCTCTCCCGCCCCCCGCGCCAAGCGAAACAGATAATAACCACAGAATCCCGCCGCTTCATACTGGTACCCGACGTGGGTCCTTGGCTGTGACGAATAGGTGATACATCATTATGAATCTTCTATTTTGATTATCCCCTCGTCGCGCTAGGAGAGGACGGGGTCTCCGATTCTGCCGAAGAGGAGGTGGAACAGCGTGGCAGAAGATACCTGATAGAAAGGATGCATAGTCAGGAGTAAGTAGGTAAGGTAGGTGGATGGGAAGTTGTAGTAAGTATGTAGGGAGTTGGCGGTGGTAATGATAGGTAACAATACCCTTGGTACTAACTAATACTGACACGCTGATCATCCCAGCACCTCGCCGAGACGGCCGTGTCGGGTCGGTCGGAAGGTTATAATAGAGTCTATCCGCCTACGCCTTTTGCGCATACATCTGGGTAGCATGGCCCCGTGGCCATATCATCATGTATGCAAGGATGTAGGTAGGGATGCACCGCACACCGATCCCAGCGCTGCCATCACTCAGACTCCATATTGTCGGTATGTAAATAGGCACTTTACAGCGTTTGGGGGGAGGGGGTTGTAGACGGTTACAAGCCAGAGTTCGCTCCTTAATCTACCTGCCTACCTAGTTGGAATATTATACCACACCTTGTATGCCTTGAGAGTACGCAATGCCGAGTAAATACCTAGGTAGACATGCTGTCTCTATGAATGTATATGTATATTATATATATATATATATATATATATATTAGATACAAGTATCTAATAAATATCAGTGCCGCCAATGCCAAACTCCATCGGCGCCGGCCGGGGAATCTACTTGGTCCGGATAGATTGTTTATATATATATATATATATACGCATGCACATGTGATATACACATACCTACAGATGTGAACCAGATTGCGAGCTGTCGTATTACCGTCGTCTGCGTAGCCGACGCCGCGACATGCACGACGAGACCAGACAACTCGACCTCGCCGGCAAGGAAAAATACGGTGAATGTGTTTGTCTATGTTTCGGCATCGCTCTCGCATTATCCCACCACGAATTGGCATCGATATCATCGTCGCCGCCACCGTCGACACCCCTTCTTCTTGTCTGCCTCGCGGCATGCAGCCGTGCCAACGTAGGTAGGTATAGGCACCGAAGGCAAGCTGGATAATGCCTAGTTGCCGGCTGCCTACACGCGATACACATACCTACTCATACACGATACCTATACCTATCCTACCTATGAGTACATGTAGGCATATACAACGTGTTTGCAAGATGTATTCACTACCGATAATACTACGCAACACCCACCTGCATCCCCATATACCGGCCTACCCATACGTGTGCGCGTAGGCGTGGAGTGCGCACATCCATGTCCATATGCTCGCGGCTGTGTGGTCTTATTATACGGGCCATGCGATCCAAGCCCAGAACCGACTAGCCAGCACCAGGCCAAGAGGGCCGGAGGGAGATCCCAAGAGGGCATTCCCTCGCATCAAACCCCCCGTCGCAAGTCATCTCGGGGTCTTCGATCTGCCCGACAACCCGGCACAAAGACTCGCTTCCCGTTGCGCCGCCAAGACTCTGCCCCCCTTCTCTCTCTCTCTCTCTATCTCCTCTCCACCCCCCCCCCCGCCGACGACGTCTGCATCCGGCACAGGGGTTTTATGCAGTCGTATTCGACCGCCCCGGCGTGGATAATTTTCATTACGACCTTCTGTTTGACGACCAGGGACTTTGCCGTCCCGACCCATCGCTCGCGTCCTTCCGGACGATCTCGCGTCCCCTATCTGCATCGTATCAGATCGATCCCAGATTCTCGGCCCTTTGCAGCTAACCAACGGCGGCGGCGGCGACAGCACCAGCACCAGCGCCAGTAGCTAGTAGTCGAGCAACAACTTGGCAGCCAGTGCCTGGCGACGTCGCCGGGAGATGCGCCGCGCCGGGACCCCCACGTTGCCTTCTCAGCCAGGCAGCCATTTGCCCACAGAGAGCTAGAATAGGCAGTAGTGAGTGTCGTATGTGTGCCCTACGCAGAACCCGCCGTATTACGTGTCCCGACCAAGGCGCCGTCCGCTCGTCCTCGACGACAACGAGGACAAAAGGCTGCCTATTGTTACCCGCACCTAGTCCGCCCAACCCGCCCCCCGCTCTGCCCCCTGCGGGATATGCTCGTCAGACCGACACGTCCTCCGCGGGCCAGCCCTATCCTCGTCATCATCTCAGCTGCTCGCACCCGAGCTGCCCTGTTTGCTGCCCTCACCCGAGCGGCCTTGTTCGTTGCCCGCGCCCGAGCTGCCCCGTTTGTCGCAGAATCGCGAGTGGCGTCAGTCATCCGAGAGATTGCTCCCGTATCCTCCCCCCTTTTCCCTTACGTCCTACGTATGTATCTACCTATCTGTTCTGTGCGCAAGAGGTTGCGCGGCGAATCGCAACTCGGCATCTCACGCTCGGGGGCGAGGAAAGTCGCGCGAGGCTTATGAGTACTCGGTCGCGTCGTGTTCCCGCCGTGTGTGGGCGCGTCCACACAGCCTCCCCCCGACCTGTCCTATCCCCTCGCGCGCCAATTCCATCAGCGGCGCGTTGTGCCTGCAATCCGCGCCGCCGAAGATCCCGTTCGCTCGATCAACCAGATCAGCATATCGTCTGTCTTCTTTCGAAGAGCCGAGACAGGAAGGTCGCCAGCGACAGATTCGCGCGCCATGCTTAACAGGTTCCACGTCGGCTGGCAGGCCAGGCCGGCTTCGACCGTGACCTGTCATCAATTGGCTGTCATCCTAGCCCCTAATTACTATCATGTGTGTGCCCGACGCATCTAGAGTCCCCAGCGCGCAGTTCGGCGCCGTGGCGTCGAGGGTTGCACGGGCGGCACCATCTTGACCGTCTTCGACGACGGGCAGGTCGGATCTAGCCGTTCTGGCCGCTCCCCTCCCCCCTCCCCCCTCTCCCCCGGAGACAGAGGAGCAAAGAGCAACGGTGGCTAGGCTATCGTACAGTCGTCGTGTAAGCTGATATAGTGTACTGGACCGCCCATACGTTTGTACGGGTCTGATCTTGGTGCAGCCGTTGCGCAAAGGATATTACCTATATCCGCCATTGTACGGTAAAGCGCACGGGGCCTAGAACAACACACATGTGTACGTGAGCAAGTCGGAGCCTTGTGCATGTGACGGCCATCTTAAGTGGCCAACTCTACTGAACATCACTCAAGTGCTATTCTCAAACTGCTCAACGGATAGAACTAGGTACCTTGTCTGAGCATGACTTCTCTTCCCCTTCGTCTCGCCGTCGCCGTCTCCCACCGCCTCTCATCCCTTCGTTCAGGAGAAAATTAGAATAATAGAGGACAACAGAAAAGGTTCAACCGAGAAAAAAAACCGCAAGTAAAAGTAAAGAGGGTAGGGAGAGGGGGCCGAGGTCGTCCCTCCAACGGGCCTACGCCTCTCCTGCCGTGCTATCTCTCTCTCCATCCAACTAAATAACGCGTACTGCCCCTGAGAAACGTGTGGCAACGTAGACAACGTCCCCCCTCCCAAGGTCGATCGATGAGCAGACCGACGAGACGTCGTTCATCGAGACGGCTGAGACACCGCCTATTCCTTCCAAGACGTGCCTCGGGGACGAGACAGTGTGGCGCGTATTTCTCAAGCCAACCTGGCGCGCCCGAGCTCCCAGCAGACTCGTCGGAACAGGAGAGTCGGTATGGCGCTGCTGGGGAGTATCAGAGATTGTTGGATTGGGGGGGGGGGGGGGGGGGGGCAGGCATGGTACGTGTCCTTTGAGACGATACTCCACGCGGCAATGATACCTAGTCGCCGCCATGTTCCCGACTATTACGGGCTGGGATTTATGATGCTTCCAGGGAAGAGCTGCACCCGGATACGGCCAGCCCGGCTGAGCCCCCGTTCATAAAACGGGTGCTACGTACCAGGACATACTTCTCTTATGCTGCAGCTGAAATTGCTTTGTGGCCGTCGGTGTTCTCTAGACGCCGAGTTGCGGTAACCGCGCAGTGGTAGATGAGTCACTGGCAAGGTAGGAAACAGGGTAGCCATATTATCAATATCTTTGGCGTGCTACTAAGAACGCCCCTTCGTCCCTTCGTCACCTTTACATCCCTAAAGAGGTAGTGGAGATGTCTGCTCTCGGTAATCTGTCGTAACTCGTCAAGTTAGGGTTGAAGACCGTCGGCTAGAGGGGTCTGGGGAAGGGTCTAGGTGGTATTATATCAAACGGTGAGCATCGTGTCGATATTAGGGCTTCGCTTCCGGATCAGCGGCGCATAATACGACGGCCAGCTTCTTTATATACTAATGCTCAGCCGACTGACGGCATAGAGGCCAAGTGTGCGGACGACCTGAGGTCTCGTGATAGATAACCCCGGGGCGCTACCCAACAGTGCTTATTGCAGGACAGGACTGATAACCACTCCCCGTCCACTCCTTCTGCCTTATTTCTACCGTTGAGATGTCGAGCCGTGAACCGCAGTGTCCCTGATCTATAAACTGAGTCCCATGCTAATTTCTGCCCACATAGCCTAGCATCCGTGTCTCCCCGGGTCGCTCGTGGATTGCAGTTGATGATAGGAGTCTCGCAACTGAAGCAAGTTCCCGCGACCTCTAGACTTCCGTGATGAGGGGCTCTCGGAGCACTGCCAATAGATGCAAGCACTCGTGCAGCTAATCCCAGCTTGTAGTAGCCGTGAAGGCGCCACAGGCAGCTCTGGCTTGCACACGAGAGACGGCCCCCAATCCCCATCACTGATATTATACCTAGTAGTCGACGACGGGTGAGGAGTGCAGACCATCTTCCGAACATAGAGCAGCGGTGTAGCGCTCATAAGTGAGACCCGGCACGCCGTGTTACCTTGGAGGCCTGACTGACCGCCCGACTGACACACCAAGCCCTCCCTCAGCAGACGGCGCCGCGACGAACCCCCCTCCCCCCCTTTTATCGATATCCCCCGCCTGCCCACTTTACCAGGCACCGCTGAGCGTGCGTGACGTTCCGGACTTCGAGAACCTGACTCGCGGTATCTGTCCAAGTGGAGCGAGGGTCTCGGTCGCGCGTGGCGGGAGTAGATCGGGTCGTCATGGCGGCTCTCCGCCCTGGAGAGCCGGGCGCCGCCCCAGCTGACCTCGCCGTCAGCGTGTCCGTCGTCACGAGTCCCTTCTCTAGCGAGTGCAGGTCGACGACTAGGCGCCGGAGCTGTCGACTAGAACGCGACTAGAACGTGACGGGGCGTGGTCTCTTCTCCGCGCCTGCCGAACGCTCCATCGAGCTGCCGAAGAAGGTCTCGAACCCTGACGCTTGATGAGTGTCGTGTCTCGTGCCAGGAGAAGGAGAAGGGAGATGTTTAAATAAGCCAGGTCATATAAACCCTAGCTTCATAGATACCTAACTTAGAGATAGCTTCTCCCACAACAAGCTTTTTCGATTGTCTTACGAGGTTCCGTGTCCCATGATTGATGTGATATGTCTGCTGCAGCGGCAGCAATAGGCAACCGACGCGCCCTAGGCGGCAAACCGGGGAAGAGCCGTCAGGCACGTAGGGAATGTCACGCCGAAGCAGAGAGCGCTTGGGTGGAGGCGCGGGATTCGCGGCCACGCCATACACGGCATAGTAAGTCACGGAAGAGACGCCGTAAAACAAAGAGGCAGATTTCTTTTTCCCTTTCCTTCTTTCTGCTTCTGCGCAGTATTACTATGCTTGATATGTATGGATAAAAGATGAACACCTATCTACACACACGAAAATACCGGTATTACTCCGTCGCGCTTCGCGTGGTCCGTCTACCTACTTATCAGCGCTGGCGGCATCACGGCAGGATCCAGGTGGTGACGCTGTTAGCGAGGAGGTTGCCGCTCCACTGCTCGCCGGAGGCGGTGTCGAGGGTGAGGTAGACGTCGTTGGGGAAGGTGTTCTCGACGACGAGGGCGCGGGAGCCGTCGGGGTTGCGCGCGGCGACCGCCTGGACGCCGGCGTACCCGTCGTAGCTGTAGCTGCCGGAGCCGGCCAGCACGGCCGCGCCCTTGGCGACGAAGCGCGAGAACTGCGCCAGCGTGTAGTAGTCCACCGTGAGGGCGTACGTGCCCGCGTCCCGGTCGACCACGAACAGCCCCCGGCACTTCGCGCACCCCCCCGGGATGTACGGCCCGAACGTGCCGTCCGCCGCCTCCGTCCACGTGCCCAGCGTCCACATCATCGAGCCCGCGGCCCAGTTCTGCAGCGGCCCCACCGTGTTCTTCGACGCCTGATACCACGGCGTCTGCGGCGACGTCCAGCACTCCGTCATGTACTGCGCCGTGCCCGGGTTCGCGTCCCGGAAGTCGCTGATGACGGTCCAGTCGATCGGGTCGATGTAGCAGTGCCACGCCGCCGCCTGGACGTACTCGCGCGCCGCGTCCACCACCTTCTGCGCGTAGTCGGGCCGGTCCGTGTTGTGGTCGTAGGCCCAAATCTGCGTGTTTAGCCCGGCTGCGCGCAAGCTGGGCCCGACGTGGTCCCGCGTGATCGCCGCCGCGTCCTCGGCGCTCTGGAACATGGTGACGTGGCCGCCCCCTTGGTTGTTGAGGGGTTCGTTCTGGATCGTGATGGCGTCGACCGTTACACCGTGGTCCGCGTAGGCCTGGAGGTACTTGACGAAGTACTGGGCGTACTGGCTGTAATACTGCGGGTCGAGCCAGTTGTTGTCGGCGTTGCCGGTGAGGACCTGTATATGCCGTGAGCAGAGCCGTGAGCAGAGCAGCTCGCTGGCCGCGCGGGCGAGGTACTTACGCGGTTGAGTTTCATCCAGCCCGGCGCGCTCCACGAGCTGCCTAAGAGGGTCAGATCGGGGCGGATCTTCTTCATCTCGGCTAGCAGCTGAGCCATGGCGGTGCCGCGGTCGCCCAAGCTAAAGTTATCGAGATTCGGATCCGCGTTGCCGTTGCTGTCGTCGTAGGTGTACGCGGGCGGTCCGGACAGGTCCGACGACGAGATGGTATGGCGAAGCAGGCCGAAGTTGGCCCCGTCCGGCGTCAACAGCTCTCTTAGCAGCTGGGACCGCTTGTCGGAGGGAAGCGAGTTGATGACAGTGACAGTCGCGTCGGTTACCGTACCGCCGAATCCGTCGATCGTTTGTTTCCTCCCGGCATCCGTATCGTCGATCCTCAAGTTCCATGTCGAAGCACCCCCCGGATTTCCGGGACCACGCACAGGCGCGTCGACGGCGCTCAGCTTATGGGATAAATCTGAAGTGGAGGCGAACGCCTGGGCCGATGTTTGTCGGCTGTCGATGGACTGGGATGAAGAGGCGGAGAGGGCATGCCCAGCTAGAGCCAGCACCGAGAGCAACATCTTGGGTTGGGTATGCAAAGGTAGGGGAACTTCTAGGCTTCTTACTGACGCCTTTTCAGTAAATAACCCACGATTGCATGTGCATATTTCGAAAAACGAGGCGAGGAGAGAGCAAAGGAGCGATGGCCTTAAGTAGAAAGAGGGTTACTTAAGCCGAACCGAAACACCGAGATACCACCCCCCTAGGCAGTAACCCGGCAACTTCACGGACGGCTCATATGGAGTCCGAGGTGCAGTCCCCTTTGGGATCCCATTTGACGATAAAATCGAGGGAGTCTGGGAGGTGGAGGCGCAGTCCATCGGTGTTGCAGAAATAGGTATCCCGATCCAGTAGGTGGTTTTAGAAATACCAAAAATCAGCCAGGGACGGCTCAGCTCGGTACTCTATGAGTAGTGATCGAGTTTTCAGGCCGGCGCGTGTCGACGAAACAGGCTTACAGAAGCGAATCCCGGATCTGGAGGGAGGATCGCGAGAGCTTCAGCCCTTTCTAGCGCGGCTGTGGGCGCGGTTCGAAGCCACTAACGGAGAGGTTCCAGGGCAAGGAAAACATCGGTCCCAGCAGATTCCAGGGAAACGTCTTGCACGATGCGGCTCTAGGACAAGGAAGCGCTACGTAGGTAGAGTGAGCATGGGAGTGGCTAATATTAGATGGATTACCAACCCAAGTACCGTCCAGGGTGTGGTGAGTGAATACCGCTCTGGGCCAGGACGATGACAGCAACGCCTTTCCAGAGCCGGGCCGACTGCTGATGGGACGCTGTGGCGCGATGGGCTGCTTACAGGGTTGAGCATGCAATAAGGGGCAACCCCACAAGCCCCAGGCCCTCCTTACAGCGCTCTGATCTGATTTGATGCTTCGTATCTAAAGCGCCGATCTTGCTGTCGATGCTGTCGACGCGTTCATCGCATGTGCTAGTCTAGCTTCGCCCGCACACGTACACACACGAGAGAAAGAGGGGGAGGAAGAGAAGAGAGAGAGAGAGAGAGAGAGAGAGAGAGAGAGAGAGAGAGAGAGAGAGAGAGAGAGAGAGAGAGAGAGAGAACAACTTTCGGCGTCCCCAACTTAGCTTGGAACATGCACGATTTGAATAGTCTTAGCCAATGTCAGGATAATCACGATGATCGCGAGCTGACGCTTCTCTTTGCTCCTCCGGCTCCCACTATTCCTCTCTTTTCCTTTTAATTTTTTTTTCTCTCTTGCGTGACGCAGGACTTGGGAGTGTGATGGCGAACTAGCAACGCGCCCCCAATGCTATAAATAACCAGAGCGGGACGCAACCCGTCCAGTACCGGCGTGTTACTACGCACCAGACTTTTGGCAGCGTAGGCCGCGATGCTATCATATGATGGTCGAAACCGACGGCTCGGCTCGGCTCGGCTCCCTTGCCCTAAGCGGAAGGTTTTGCTGGGTCATCTATCTCTCGTAATGTAGCCGTTGTTATATTGAATAGATATATTACGTGGGCATATATATTGGTATAGGTACAGGGGGTGGAATGGATAAACGGGCGAGAGAGTTGTTGCTTGGAGAGAGTTGGGTGCTGAAGAGACATTCGCTCCTCTCCGCCCCATCCTCGACCCATGGCCAAACGCCTCTCACCTCATCGGGAACCGCCTCCTGCTCGCGGTATTATTAGATACCTGCTTGACTGCCGTTGCCATTAAGAGGCATCTAGGGCTGACCCTGATTTCAAAAAACCGTCCATAACTGAGCTACTCGTGCAGAGCGGCAGTAGAACATCGCGTCGAAACCGTGGTTGGATTTTGGGGAGATCTGGGACTGCCCGCTCGTCTTTCCCTCTTTTCTTCCACCTCGTTTCTTCTCATCGCCCTCTACTCGCGTGCCCGCCTGCGCCCGAGAAACCCCCAGCCTCCACGAGACAGCCAGCGGCGAAATCGTGAAGCGAGCGTGAACGTAGAAGGGGAGCGTGGGACGTAAGTCTGCCCGGGTGACGCCAGCTTGACCTCTGCCCTGGCACTCCTGTCACACTCCCCTATCACATTCGTCCGGTTCCACCACCCGAGGAAGTATTTTTAACAATCGGTCCTTACAGAGTTGTAATTCCAAAAACGGTAACTTTGCTATTCCTATGTCTTCTCCTGTGAGCGCCCTCCTGACCTGCCGCGACCATTATATGTTACACGCTCGACCATGCCTAGATGACTGGCTGTATACCTACATCTCTGCCAACTTGGAGAGTTTAAGGGGGTGTTAAGATTACCATTAATACAGTAGGTATGTTCAGCGAAAAAAGGGGGTTATTCATGCGTCATTCCTCATCACACGTCACCACGGCTACTCAGCCATCTATCGGAGAAGATGAAATCTTAAGGGGGGCTACTCTTCCCTGGAAGAGCCATCCTCCACTTCTTCTTCCTCTTCCTCGATGCCCCAGTCTCTAAACTCGGTGCCCCTGACCCAGCTGATGCCCTTCCGGACGCGGCTCTCGCGGATAGCTCGTGCATCCCTCTCGTACACGGCGCCGGTGATGGCGAGCGCGAGCACGAATACCCAGACGTCGCCGCCCTTCATGGCTCTCCACCATCGGCGCTTGACGCCTACCTTCCAGAACGAGTCGACGCTAGTCCGGGCACTGTACAGGAACACGCCCCTGCCCTCTCGGCGGTTGACCCAGGCCCACAGGCCGGCCAAGAATCCGCCGAGGAAGAAGCGCTGCGTGGGCAAGAACGTCCGAGGGAACCAGGTCTGGAAGAAGCAGATGCTGGCCCACGCCGTCGAGATGGCGCCCGTGGCAAATGTCGTGAGCCGGAGCGTCTGGGAAAGCAAGCGGTTGACGAAGTACAGCGGCGAGTTGTACAGCCACTTATAACGTGGCAGCATAAGCATGGAATAGAATAGCAGGAAGAAGCGGCCGATCCGCGGGAACGACCGTACCCAGAAGGTAAGATAGGTACGGAGACAGGACGGATCTGACGGATGCAGCGTAGCGCAGCTCAGCGACGCGATGAGGGGATGAGCTCGCGCCGTCAGAGGCGAGACGGCGGTTAGAGACGGGGGTAACGTGGGCTGGTCAGGAAACAGCGCTGGGGAGGTGAAGGGCCTGCCGAATTGTCAGTATGCCATCCGCTATACGCAGCAGCGAGGATCGGTTACTACGTACGGCCAGTTAAGCTTCGCCATCTGGGCCAAGTTGTCGGCGATTTCCCACGCGCTGGGCCAGTTGACGCCAGCAGGCAGGTTGGCCGGAGCGCTGTGGAGATAGGAAGAAGTGTTCTTCCAGATCATGTCGACCATGCCAATCGGCGAGGATTCTCTGTCGAAGACGGTCGCGTGCAGCAGCTGGCCAAACGCCAGCGGCTGGAGCATCCAGCTTCCCCACCACCACGGCCGCTCCCGCTTCACCATCCCCTTCCCACCTGGCCGGGCCTTCCAGCCCCAGATCAGGCCTTGATCCTCGCAGAGGTTCCAGCCAAACTCGAGGGCCCGGAATATGGCTGCTATGGCTACGGTCACGCGCAGTTGCTGGGAGGGATATATGCCCAGAGCGAGGCCTGCGAGACTGGCACCGACCGCGGGCGCGTACGGGGACGTGAGCGTCTGGGCAGTTTTAGGATTGCGGTTCCGGAAGGGTGCGGCGGCTGGGTCCAGCAGGTGCGTGCGAAGCCGGCTGAGAAAGCGGAAGAGGAGACGGTAGAGCAGCAGGATGGTGGATAGGGATAGCGAGAGGCGGAGCCCCGAGGACTTATAAAAGGACTGCTTGCTATTGGCGGTAGCGGCCCTGTACGCTGGTTAGCATATGAGAAGGAGGCTTTGGACTTGCCAAACTATTTCGTTCGCGAGATTTTCCTTACCCCTTCTGCGCCTTAATCTTGGAGAGGACAGCTTCGTAGACCCTTATCCCTATACCGGTGGCAATGAACACACGCAGAGAGTCTCTGATAGCACGCGCATTGTAGCTGTCTCCTTTGTTGGGGGTGACGACAGCCGTCGCCTTCTCCTTGCCCTTGCCCCTAGCGGCATCCTTGTCGGCGGCGGACGCTCTTCGCGTGCCGTTGCTGCCGTCTATGTACCTCTCGACGGTGCTCACGCTCGGCACGTTCCTCCGAAGCAGACGAGATCGTGACAATACATATTTGTGGAGAGTCTCGTACTCGCGAGCGGAGATGGTGTAGCGCAGGGCGTTGCGCAGGACGGGGTCGACGGCGGACCTCGGCTTCGGCTTCGAGTCGGCCCTGGGGCGCGACACGACGTCGGGCTTCTTCGGTATGTCGAGCGGAGGGAGGGTGGGGATTCGGGCGGAGGAGGCCTCGGACTCCATGGTGCTCTGAGCTGGGCGGATAGGCCCCGGTTTTTAATATGACGACGACGACGAGGATTTTCGGGTATTGGTGCCCAACGAGGGCGAAGAGGGGTCGCGACGATGGGACGGAATGGATTCGATCATGCGCGTATAGACACGCCGACAGGAGCGCTGTAGGTGACGGAGATCGGATCGGATCCCTCGCTTTTGCGGTCGTGCCCTGCGAGTGATGGGGGAGAGAGGGGTGGGTTAGGTGTGCCCGGTTTGGCTCGTCCGATACGATGGACGATATTGGCTCGACCGGACCAATTTGGACGCAACGACACGACGTTGCACTCGTCAAAGCTCGAGGCCCCTAAGTCCAGCGGGAGCAGAATGTGCCACGCAGCAAATGAGAAAGGCGAACATTGGAGACGGGCCAGTAGGGTCTCCTCTTCCCTCCGCGCATGTGCGTGCGATGCGAATGTGCGTGCGCGTGGTATGCGTAGATGCCACCACCACTGGGACGACGGCGTGCCAGATCGAAGCGACGGAGTACTCTGGTGACAAGATCGGGGGGGGGGCCAGATTGATTAATTGAATCGACAGACGGACGAATTGGCGGCTGGAGATGCGACAGGGGCAGACCGAGGAGGCGGGAAGGATGTCGATGACGGCGATGGGAGGGAGAGAGGAAGGGAGAGGAAGAGAGGGAACAGGATGGGCGAGAAAGAGAGAGAGGGAGAGACGGCGAGGAACGGGGTGTCGCGTCGAAGCCCATCAGCAGTATTATTATCTTCTCTGCGGACTGGCACGGAGAGGAGAGAGACCTATGAGTAGAGAATTATAGGCCGGCGCCTGGAAATTAGGTACCTAATGTACCTAACGGACCTAATGGACCTTCCATAGGTGTGCCTGCCGGGGGTACCTCCCCCCTAAAGTACTGTACGTAACCCGAGGTAGCAGCGGCAGTAGCAGGGACTTGTAATTACCTGAGGTGCCTACATCGGTCTGCATTAGGGAGTGGATGTAGGGGTACTTTCCCTTCCGCAGCGGGTAACTGCTGGGCCTGAAGTACCTTAGGTATCTCCCCACCTACAACAAGGAGAAAGTGGAAAGCACATGTTGATTTGACGTGCATTATGATGTACCTACCTAGATACCTAGGTACTCTTTAGGTACCTAAAAGTCAGGTACCTCCTAAGGTTACGTGCCTTATTTCCCACGTTCTCCCGCCCACTAGTACGTACCTTTTTACCGTTAGGTACATGCGACACAGGGAAGCCTCGGCTCAAGCTGGCCCCCAATCATGCGCCAATATGAGCGTCTGTGGGGAAAAAGATGGGCCAAACCTGGCTCTAGTGGATGCGGAATGACATCGCCTGCCCGCCATAGGTGTAGGGATTGTACGTACCTACACATACATGACATACATGAGGTGCCTAAATGCTCATACGTGCACCCTCCAACGCCCTATGTCTAGATAACCTCCTAGAGGTAGGATGCAATCTATACAGATCGTATCTACAAATATATAGATATATATGGTATGCCGTCGGGTTCTGGCAGCGCACTCGTAGCCGGCGCATTTACCCCCTGTCTCAGCTCCATGATGTGCGTAGTTCGCCGAGCGTGAGAGGGCGCGAGACCGAAGGGGAGCCCTCCATCCCCTCGTCAGGATCGGCATGAATGGAGAGGCGGTTGAAACGCGCCCTCATTTGCTTTGGTGCCTTTTTCGGCGCGAAAACATCGCGGGCGCCTTTATGCAAAAGCTGGCTAGGACGAGGGGATGCGAGATCCGTGGCCCTTGTCTGGTGCCCGCCAAGGAGTCCTCCTACCCACGTCCCTACACGTAAATATGAGTGCGTCCGTTGGAATTGTCGTATGTCTGCGCAACAATTAGTTCTCGTAGGGAGAGGGAGAAGAGAGGGAGATGAATAAGGAGTATATTATACGTGTATAGCTATTATCTCCTATAGTAGGTATAGTACAAGATATAGGTATGCATAAGGAGGTAGGTAGGTATGTCAGTACACGAGAGAATGCTCCATCGGGTCCATTATAGCCTATAAATAAACCCAGTAGGTATACCACCTACCATAGGCACATCCAGTACGCGAGCAATAAACGCCTACCTACCTAGATCATCTAGGTATGTACTCAACCTTGTAACACCTAAACTCCACCCACACCGGGCTCAGCTTCACCTCACTTACTCTGTACCCCCTCTCCGTCTCCTAACTCGCCTCCCGGGGGGGCCGGTCCGCGCCGCTTAGCTTCTCGAGACGGCTGGCTTCGTGGCCGCCGTCGCCGCCTTGGACGCGGGCGTAGCGCCCCCGTCCTCCTCGCCCGCGGGCAGCGCCGTGCTCACGCCCTCCACGCTGGCGGTCTTGTCACCGCGTCCAATCCCCGCCACGACGATCAGCGGGCCCTTGTAGTTCTTGCGCCCGTCCAGGACCCAGGTCAGCAGCGAGAGGAGCAGCATGATCCCGAACGCCGCCACGCAGTAGTTCATGTTGGCGCTCGTCACCGGCAGCGCCGGCGGGAACACGAACAGCACCGTCGTCAAGACCGTCCACGCTATCCCGACCTGGTTTTTATTTTTATTTTAGCGCTTCGTCGGAACGACCCGTCGAGATAGAAGAGGAGGTGGGCGGGCATAGGTAGGGTAGGTAGGGCAGGCGAGGAAAGGATAGGAAACGGAGAAGATGAGCAAGAAGAAGAAGGGGACGAGACGATCGGGCTTCCTCTACTCACCAGGTTCACTACCCAGCCCAACAGCTCCGGCATCCGGAACGGCCGGTCGGGGGGCAGCATCCGGCGGCCGCGCAGCACGTTGATGGTCGGCGGGATGGCGTAGGTGACGCCGAGCGCGACCACGGACGCCGACGTGATGGCGTTAAAGGTGCTCGTGGACCCGAGGAAGATGCAGCCGAAGACGGCGGCCCAGCCGGCCGTCCACAGCAGCGCGTTGAGCGGCACGTCGAGCCGGCCGTGCACGCGCGCCAGCACGCCGCTGAAGGGCAGGCCGCCGTCGCGCGCGAACGCGTAGCTCATGCGGCTGCTCGTCGTCATCAGCAGCGTCGCCGCGAAGGTCACGCAGCCGATCGGGAACACGAGCAGGCACACGCTCCCCGCCGGGCTGCCCGTCGCGTCGGCGAAGATGCGCAGCAGCGGCCCCGCCGGCGACGCGATCGCCCCGTCGAGGTCCCGCGCGCAGAACAGCAGGCACGACAGGAACACGAAGCCGGTCGCAACGCCGATGCCGATGCAGGCGAGCATGATGCGCGGCCCGCGCACCTGCGGCTGCGGGATCTCCTCGATCATGTGCGCCACCGCGTCGAACCCGGTCAGCGAGAAGGCGCCCTGCAGCAGGCCGAGCAGCCAGGCGATCCCGTCGGGCCACCCGACCTCGTTGGTGAAGCGGCCGTAGACGAAGGCGCCGCTCTGGAAATCGGGCGCGGCGCAGGCGAGGATGGTGATGCTGACGATGACGAACCCGGCCAGGCTCCAGAGGAGGGCGGCCTTGGTGATGAGCGGGAGCAGGCGCGTGCCGAAAGCGTTGATGGCGAACGCGAGCAAGGTGAAGGCGAGGTACATGAGGAACTGATGCCACGGCTGCGGCTCAAAGTCCGGGTGCAGCAGGGCGACGATGTTGAGGACCAAGGTACTACCAAGCAGGCCGCCGGTCGATGCGAGCGCGACCCAGCCGGACACATTGATCCAGCCGGTCACGTAGCTGATGCCGCGGCTCCAGCGGCGCCAGGCGACGATGGCGGCCCAGTGGTACTGGCCGCCGGCGGTCGGGTAGGCGGACAGGAACTCGGCGAGGGAGGCGGCGAGGCACAGGTTGCACACGCCGGCGACTACGAGGCCCCAGATGACGGCGCTGGGGCCGCCCGAGGGCAGGGCGAGCGAGATGGAGGCGGCGAGGGCGGTCCAGGTGTTGAGGATGGCGAAGGCGAGCCCGAGCATGGACAGCATGGAGAAGTTCCGCTTGAGCTCCTGCTTGTGGCCCAGCTGCGCGAGGGTGGCGGCGTCCTGAGCGATGACCTGGTCGTAGCGCGCGTCGCGTGAGCGGGCCGGCGATAGGGGCCCCGCCATCGTCGTCGGGCGGTGATGACGGTTACAAATGTCTAGTGTCGTGCTTCTCTCCTCCCTCTCTCCTCCTATTCTCTCTCCCGTTTCCTACACGATTCCCCACTCACTCCTTCGATACTTCTCCGACCAGCCTACCGGTCGGCCCAATGCGTTCGTAGTCGGTGGGAGGGACGAGAAATTCGGAAGCGCATAGGCGGGCGTAAGGGGACTCCTCGAGGAGCGGATTGGGAGGGGATGGGTATAATAAGTAGACGACAGCGTAGCAGACAGCCGCCGGTTAGCTGATCAACAACGGGACTAGACAAAGATGACCCGGGTCCCTTCTGTCACTCTGGCGGCCGCCACACCTGGACCGTGGCCGGAGATAACCTTGTCGTCTGCTGGATCTGGGTCAATCAGTATCGCCTCTGCATTACACATATCCAGTAGGTAAGCGGCCGCGCGCCCAGGCAGGGATGTGGACAGGGCGGAGAGAAGCCGGGGGGCGAACAGAGAGAGAGAGAGAGAGAGGGCCGGGCACGCCGTCTGTCTCTCTCTCTTCTCTCTCTTTTCTCTCCTCCCACGTAGTACTCCCTACAGGACCTAGCCGGTGGGTTGATTCTCGTCCTGTTCCCCTATCCCTTTCCGCTGCGAGTCCGAGCCGATCCTACCTATAGAACCCGACCCAACGTTAGATCCCTCTTCCCTGTATGAATAGACATTTCCACAGCCCATCCGGCACCCCATCCTAGTGTATGATGCACACGCGGGTTATCATATGTTACCTGTCTGGGGTGCTCATTCTCGCGCTCAACCGCCGCGGACCGTTCGCGTGGTGAAATCCGCGCCAAAATTCCACCACGGTCGACTCAGGTTAGCCACAGGCATTTCGCATGGGTCGTCGGCGGGGGCGCGGTTAGTCCCATCACTATTCCCGTCACTACCTACCTCCCTACTTACGTACCTTGAAGACAAGATATGGAAGCTTGCTCCGGGCACGTACGATACCAAGATAAATAAGGCCTCTTACCTGTATTCGCCCGTCAACATGGCGTCCGTACATCCGTACAATCCACCCGTACCTATCTATTGAACGCACATAACTGGAGAGTTGGCGGGAATCCGAGCGGCTTTGTTCGACTTGTCGTGACCTCGGCACCTCCCCCCCTGTCTTTTCTTTTCATTCCTGTCTCCGTCTGTCAATATTTGTAGAGGAAGAATAAGAAAAGAAAAAAACAAAAGGATTGATCGGCATGTATGTGCAAGGGCCCCCCGGCCCCGGATGACAGTCCCCCGCCATCCCCCATCCCTCCGTTCCCACCCGTGAAAGACTAATCGACGACGACGACTTCAGTTTCGAACCACCCACCCACTCAAACACACATACATATATATATAATATGTACGTATGTGTGTGGTTAGGTCGCATCTGGATACGTCCAAGACTTCTAATGCGGCGCTAGGTATAACAAACTAAGGACCCCAGTAGCTTACAATGTGCGGAGAATGGAGAATGGGGAATGGGGAATGGCCGCTAGGGAGAAAGGAAGCAGAAGGGAAATGCTGAAGGTCGTCAACGTGCGTGATCACGTATTCGTCGTCACCGCGGATTCTCGCGAGGCCCAAGTAATAAGCCACAACAATGTTTTTAGCTCTATCTACTGAAGACTGCCTTGTGGCCCGTCTGATCCGAGGCCGCCTGCCTACCGGGCCACTTACCAGTCACTCTCCTTTCCCCCCTTTACGCCTATCCTTAATCCACTGGCTGCCACGATGCCGCCCTCGACATCCTGGCCGTCGCCATCGTAGCCTGAGAGTGCACGTCTATGGTGCAAACGTAAAAAACGCAATTCCATCGGGTCCGACCAAAGTCGTCTACCCTCATAATCCGCCAAACTCCGGGGCTGTGCATCCATCATGCTCGAAACTGCTGCGGCGGCATTTGAGCTGCAGTCAAATAGGGTATTATGCGAATGCCGAAAAGTCCTCCCTCTTCAGTCCCTCTTTTGCTATTCGCAAACCTATACCCTCTATCTTTTTTTTTCTGTTTTGTTTCCTTCCTTCTTTAGAAATCATATATCACTTAGGCATCTCGTAACCATGCCACCGGGGCGAGAATCTTTTGACAGAAACCCCCTCGTACCGTAGGAACCAAGGGGTGGGTGCCGCGGGGGAAGAGAGGATCAGCGAGATAGCCAGTCACACGGGCATTGTGACGAGCTTCTCCGTCACTCCACTCCCAATCAACCGTGACGAGGAGGGAGAGGGAAGGGGAGAAGGGGGGCGAACATACACCAGTGAACACCAAACGCAATGCATACGAGGAGGCCCAACCGAGGGAAAAAAAAAAGAAGCAAGGAGACACAGTCCATCACTCATTAGGTGCCATGCGATAAAGGAAACTCGACTCATCCGTAACCGCCAACCCGAGGCGTTCCATCATGAGAGCCCATCACACAAAAAAACTTCCGGCCTGCCAGCTAGACCATCGATTTGTGCGCGTCGTACAGGCGCAGCCGCGGCTGCTTCTGTGGTGCCTCCGCAGCCGTCGAGAATTGCGGTACCCAGCTTCGGACGATTCCGGGGACTTCGGCACCCCGCGGCTGAACGACTTCCTCCTGCCAATTCAACACGTCCCAGGGCTCCACGACCGGATGGCGTCGCTGGGCAGAGAGCCGCTGTTGGATCTCCCGATAATGGGGGACCGCTTCAGAACGGACTGCTTCGACGGCGCGCACACGTCTTGCTTCTCTCTCGGCCACAACTCCGGCGACAGCGTGGTATCGGCCCTGGGCGCTGTTCCAGCCCGAGACACCGTCGCTGGCAGAGGTCAGCACGGCGCACAGCTCATAGAACGGCAGGTTCAGCAAGACGCGCGAGAGAACCGGGGAGCACTTGGCGGGGCTGCGTTGAGGCGTGCCGTCTTCCGGATAGACGGGTGGGAGGTCGCCGAACTTGATGCTCGAAAACCGGTTCGCCTTGGCTCGGTCGCGCACCTCTACGTCTTGAGCTAGGGCGGGTTCCGCACCCTTCGCTGTCGGACTGGTGGCGGCAAAAGCGACGGGGATGCGGGCAAAGTTCTGGGAATCGCCCACCGAGGTATCGAGCTTGAAATCGGAAGGGAAAGCGTTGATAAGGAAGTTCATAGTGGCATCCAGGAGAAGTCTGGTCTCCGGGCCGTATCCGAACTCCAGCTCGACTTCCTGCTCCGCGTCATAGTTGACGTGTCGTTGCGTGGTGCCTTCGAGCACAAAGCCGAGAGCTGCCTCCACGGTACTCCACGACAGGAAGTCGGCAGCCATCTGGAGACCGCGCAAGTGGACATCTTGCATGTTCAGAATATGACCCGCGGCAGCGTAGCCTAGGCAGAACTGGAACCGATCGACCTTATCGCTCGTGAACCCTGTGATATCGACGGGTGTAAGCAGTGGGTACATGTACAGGCGCCGCACTGCGCCCCACCAAGCATCAGAACGTAGGAAGGGGTCTTCCGACTCGACAGTGATCGTATGCGAGCCCAGATCTGTGGCACGGGCAGCCATGATGTGCTGCCTCAGGGATGGACTGCGCGCTAAAATGAGTTTGTGACCGGTTATCTTCACGGGGCGGTGGGCGCCCTTCGTAGAAACGAGTTCGAGGACGCAGTCGGCAAGCTCGCCATTGTCGAACTGGCCTCGGAGATAGCGGATGCTATCTACCAGCCCGTCGTCCATCACATCTCCGTAGCGGGCAAAAACGCCCATGGGCACGAAGGGCGGGAAATGGCTGACGGGATGCTCATGATGGACGTGACCGCCGTAGGGGGGACCATTAGGAGGAGGATACGGCATGACGCCATTCTCAACACCGTTTAGCTCTACCGAAGCGGGCGAGCCGTGGAAGCTGTGGGGAGTCGAGAGGCCGTAACGGGCAACGCTAGGCGAGTAGGGATCGTAAGGAGGGTGCGGTACGGGAGCTGGTCCCTGTCCATAGGCCTCGACGCCTCCGCCAGCCATGGGCATCATCTCGGGTCGGAATTGGGTCTTGATCGGACCTGGAAAGCCGTTCCCGTCAGGGCTGCTGGGGTGGTGGCCGTTGGCCTGGGCATGGATGCGGTTCTCGCCGTTGGCGGGTGGGGGCGCCGGAGGCACGAAGCCACCGGGCAGCGGTGCCGGGGAAGGGGTATGCGAGCTAGCAAACCCACCAAACATGATGCCGCCGTTGCTCACGCGAGCGGGGTGGTAAGGGTGCATGTGGGGCGGGCCGCCTCGGCTGGTAGGGTCGGGGAACTGATCGGTGGGCGGCGGGTGGTGCGGGAGGTGGGGTCCCTGAGAGAGAGAATGGAATTCTGGTCGAATAGAGGACGCGGCCGACTGGGGTTGTGAGACATGTCGGGGTGCATCTTGGGCACCTATAAGCTGTAAGAGTCTAAGATCTGATGGAGAGCGCTCTGACTGCGGGTGCGCTTTACCTGGATAGTAGTGATCCGCAGAAACAACAGCGGATCCAGCGGCAGACTCGGCATCTGCAACGGACGAGGCCGAGGGCGTGTGTCGCGGAGCATTGCTGCTGCCGCCGGCCCCGTTGACGCCACGCACCGACACGGGAGCATCGACAATCTCGCTGGGGATATTGTTGCCGTTGTCGGAGTGGCTGGCATCGCGCTGGAGAGGGTTATCGACATTGGCGGCGGCGGCGGCATGTTCGGGCATCTCCACATCGAAACCGTTAACCCCATGCTCTAAGGCCTGGGCTGACTGCACAACTTTCGCACTATCCGAAGCGGGAACTGCGTCGGTAAGAGCAGCCTCGAGGGACGAAGCGGGGACGCCGTTGCTCGACGGATGAATCGCAACACGCTGGTTCCCGGAGAAGGACCGGGAGGCCATCAGCAGGGGGATAGCGGGCATGACGACGGGCCGCGACTGGGTGATGACGGCGGAGTGCTTCCTCTTCGTATGGCCGGTGGTAGCCTTTCCAGGCTTCGGCTCACCCTTGTGAGGCGACATGGCGAGATGTGGACGGTCTGCTAGCCTCGGTTCGACAGCGAGGCTATAACGAGGGAGGGGATATCAGCGGTCGCGAGGCGGTCCAAAAGAATATACCCAACAGCAGGCGAGGAAGGACGGCAGAGGTGAGGGGAGAGGGAGAGGGGGTAGGGCGACCCCGGCGACGCGGGCGGAGAGAGGAATAAAGGAGGGACACAGTGGGAGACAGAGCGGGAGGTGAGAGAGGGCAGGAAATCCGGGACGTGCGCGGCGAGGTGAGGCACTAAAGCTAGGCGGACATTCGACCGTGAGATCGTGGCACCGGACCCCGAAGCCTGCAACTCAACCGTGGCGCTGATACGACGGAGAGTAAGTGGTTTCTATCCCACCATGCCACGGGTTTTAAGACGTACCGGATGGCAAGGCGAGGCCAGACGGGACGAGACGAGACGGAGGAGGAAAAAAGGGGGAGACGAAAGGCGAGGCGCAGGCCGGATGGAGAGAGATGGGAGAGGGAGGAGACAGGAGAGAGACGGGGAAGTATTGTAAGTAGAGGGAGTCAGTCGGTCCGGATACCAACAGCAGGGCGGACTGACGAGAAGGGATACGCACGGCGGGACGGGTGAGTAGAAAAACAATACGAGAGAGGCAGAGAGGAGAGAGAGGAGCACAAAGGTGCAGTGCCAAAATCGATGGGAGGCGCCGTCAATTGTTGGCTCGAGGGGGAGGAAAAGGTGACGAGGCGAAGGATGGATTTCCTCGTGGGCATTGGATGGCGGATGGCGGATGGCGGATGGTGGTGGAGGAAGTTTGGGGGCAGCTCCCTCCGTCAAATCTATCCAGCGCGCGGCTTCCATGGCGGGGGAAGGAAAAGTCCGAAGTTTTTTTTTTTATTCTCTCTCTCTGACTGGCCGATAAGATGGGGAACTTGGTACCTGGGTACCTTGGATACGTCCCCGTTTCTGTCAGTTCGGTACCTGACGCATACACCAAAACATGCAAACCTTGGCCTTCCACGCCCGCAGCACATGCCTCCGATGGAAGTACCTACGGGTATATGAGGTACGTGCCCACTTGGGCAGGTTAGGTACCTATGTACCCAAGGTAGGTGACAGTCTTACCCACCCTCCCTTAGGACCTAGAGGTACCTCGTAGATCGGTTTTACTATCCAGAATCGGAATAGGAATCTAACCTAAGCCACGCCGCTTTTAGCCTAAGCCTAAACCTAAGTCTGGCTTAATAAGACCCGCTTTTTATAACCTAATATAAATAAACTTATATAATTTCTAAATACGTATTACCGTAATTACGCTAAAAAGACCGTTTAATATAAAATAGACTTTAGTATATAAGCTTAACCTCTTTCCATAGACTACCCCTTCGCGGATTACCTAAAAAACCCTTACTACGTAAATAATTAAAGCTATTTAAACTACTAAAACTAATTAAAACCTTCCGATTACGGCGTTACTACCCTAATATAGTTCTCCGCTTACGATCCCTCGTTTTTAGCCGTTTCCTACGCCGTTTCCTATTCGTTAGGTACCTCTTCGTCGCTTGCCTCGTCCTTATATACGATCCTACCTTTTAACGACCTTTTCGCTTACCGTATATTAATTATACGTACGAAGCGCTTACCTAGCGCCGGAAGGACCTTCCGACGGGTCTTAGGAATACTACCATAGCCTAGTACCGATCGAATTAAATCATAGCTATAAATAACTATAATTAACTAATCGACTAGCTAAAAACGGTAACTAGAAAAAGGAAAAACTAATAGAAATAAATAGAGATAGTAAATAAAGGCATAATAAGAAACGAATAAAAAGCTATAAATCCTAATATCTATAGGTTTAAGTTTAATCGATAAAAAGATAAGTACGAAACCTATATAAATATATATCTAAAAGGCTACGTAGCTTAGTTTTACCGTACTACTATAATAATCGAAACTCTTAGTATCTAGGATCGTATTACTTAAATCCTAGATTTCGAGGCTAATAAGACTTTATAATAGTAGGATATTTTCCTTATCGGGGTTAGCTATACCGCGGCTATAAAATAAATCTAATTATATTTATAAAGGGTTATCGATTCCGTTAGTCTCCTAGATAAGTCGGTATTAGAGTACGTCGTCGCGTTAGTAACTATATTATCCGACGCCTAACGTTACTTTTCTTTATATATTTTAAATAAGGTAGCATTACCTTCGTATTATTACCTTCGTACCTACGTTTAAAGTTACGTTACCTTAACTACCCCTAGTCGCGGTAAAAAAATAAACTTAAGTTTATTAATCTATTGCTATTATTAACGGATTAATTTAGGCTTCGTAAAGAATTTCCCGTATCCGTAAATATAGTAATTCATTTTCCTACTTTTAACTTTAACCGTTAGGAAATACTATATCGCGTAACTTAATTACGTAAGGGATTAGCGATTAATAATACGGAGTAAAGTATACCGATATAGTCTTATAAAAGGCCTTCTTAGTTATTATTCCTCGCTTTAAGGTAATAAGCTCTTCTATATCTATATAATTCTACTTATTATATCGAGAAATACTTTAGTTATTACCTTATCCGTTATAATGGATATAAATCTAAAAGAGAACCTAAAAAAAGGACTCGAGGTTATTTATAAAGGAGTAATCGTCGCCGGAGAGGATCCCGATTACTATAAAAGCCCTCGTACCGGTTATTTCTTTAGTACTTAATGCTTATAATCGATCGGTTTTAATAACGAGATCGAGATTAATTAAAAACGAAGGCTAAGAAAGGTTCTCGTTATCTTTATTAATTATAAGATTATTAATTAAGATATCCCGATAAAGAATATTAGCCTTATATAAAGACTTATATCCTTTAATATATCCCTCTAACGCCTTAAGTAAGGCTACTTATAAGCTTACCTTATAGATTAGCCTCCCGTAATCGCGTAAAATAATACGTCGGTAAACCCGGTTCGGGAGTAAACTTCTAGGTTTTATAGGAAACGCCGAACCCGAACCTAAACGGGACCTTTTACCGGGCGGAAGAGGGACGTTAACTTAATAAGATAAGCGTTTAAAGCTCGTAAAACTTAGGCGTAATCGAGAAAACTAGGCTAGGCGTTCTTAATTATAATTACTAGCCTTTATAACGTTTAATCCTTTACGAATATAGCCTTAAATATCGTCGTTATTATATCCTATATAAACCGTCGTATAGGCGTAATACCGCGCGACATTCTTTACGCGTTTCTTTATTATTACTTTAAGTAATCTACCTTCGTCGTTACGTTCTAGAAATTACCATAAGTCTTTAATAATAAGCAGTACTATTTTATCTCCTTCGGGATACGCTTTCTAATAAATAGTTATACGGCCTATTATACCTAGTATCCGCCTTATAAGACTATCGATTATAATGCGCTTTATCGTATTATTTCGTTTAATATCGATATATTAATAGTAATTTAATTTCATTATAATAAGGTCGAAGCCGAGCGATTAATCGTTTATCTAAAGAAAACCAAGGATAGTTAATATAAATAGCTACCCTATGTTATAAATATCGAATTTCTTAAATGCGATAGCGCTAAGCCGGTCGAATTCTTAAAGCCGTATTTAACGTCTATATAAGGTAAAGGCTAGAATAAAGCGACGAATAGGTTAAGAAGTAAATACTTCTTTCGCGAATCTTCCTAGAATAAGCCGCGCCTTAGAATCTATATCTTCTTTAGGATTACTCTTTAGTTCCTTAGGTATTAAGATATATAATTAGTCGTCCCCGACCGTCGGGTTATTTATAAAGATAAAATCGGGTTTCCGCTTCGTAACCGAGCTATAAAGCGGTTTATTAAAGTAAGCTAACGGCCTCCGTATTATTTTCGGCCTATAGTTCTACGTTTACCGGATAATTTAATTATATAAATCGGCTAGCTAAGTAATAACGTCGTCTTAGTTAACATCCTTTAACTATTTAGTCTAACGACCTTCTCTATAGCGTAATAATATCTTATTAATATATTCCTAGAAGATATTTATAGATACTACTTCGAGGTTTAGAATATTACCGAAAAGGGCTTCGTAAAAATTCGGAACATCGACGTATATAACGCTAAGTTTATCTTTAAGAACTTTATTTATATTAATGCGTAATTTAAAGGAATTTATAAAGCTACTTATTTTATATACCGATAGTATTTATAGGAAGGAGGAAACGGGTTTTCGTAGAGAAGTAAATTCGGTAACGGCGTAATAAACTTATTCCTAGATTTCGATATCGGATTAATAAATAAGGACGGCATTTAAAAGAGGCTTAATTCGGTTAAGGTAAACGGTATTAAAAGCGAGTACCGGAATAAGATTAAAAATATCTTAACGTAGGTTATTATAGCTTATTTAAAAAGGTAAATAACGGGAGGCTAGGTAGTTAAGAAATATAGAAAAAAGCGTAAGTATAATGGTTTAAAGATCTAGATATATATTAAAATAATCGATAGGAAATAAGTAGTTCGTATTTACCTTTACGGTTAACTATATCGAATTCGATAGGATTCTAAACGATTACGTTTAATAACGTACGGCTTAGAAGATAATTCCGAATAATATCTAGCTAGTATTAATCTATCGTAACGAGAAAGTATATTTAGCGATAATAATTAATAAGAAAAGTCGGTATAGCGCGTTATATACTCGGTCGGCGATATTTACGTTATTACGAATAACTATATTAATAAATATACGGATTAAACTAATATTTAATAAAGCGTTACCTTCCTTATCCCGCTATATAGATTATTATAAGCTTTATTTAAACTATTAAAGCATAAGCTAATTATTAGGTATTAGTTCTAGGATAAAGCAAGGAATAAGCTATAGCTTCTTTATATATAACTTCCTAGGAAGTCGCTCGGTCCCCGGGTAAAGGCTAGAGTAGGCTTAGGTAGTTAAAGCGCTAATGAAAATACATACCTACTATAAGTAAAATATACCGCGGCTATAGCTAAAATAACCGTAAGCGCTCTAAAGCCTAACTATAAATACTCTACCTTTATAATAATATTTTATATATCCCCGTTATTCCTTATCCTAAATAGTTATCTATAGCGAATTAATATAGCGTCTTATTTTATTAGCTTTAAAAAAATTACCGCGAAGGATATAATAATTATCGCTAAGGTTTAAGAATGCTTTTAAACGAAGTTATTATAGGTATATTCCTTATACTCCCTTTAAATCCCGTCGCTATAGCTAGTTAATGGATTTCTAGGTTAATTAAGAGTAACTTACCGTTAAAGCCGGCTTCGAGGACGGTATTACGGCTAAAGCCTATTATAAGCTACCTCCCGATTTAGATAGCCCCGGCGATACGCTAGGAAAGCGATAGTATTCTTATAACTAAGCCGCTTCGATACGATTAAAAACCGAAGATAAAAACGAATACTACCTTTATAACCGCTTTACGTTCTGCTACCTATTTAACCTTAAGGATAGAAAGGATTAAATTAATAACTTAATATAAAAGGCTAGATTATAAAATATATT